TATGGAAGCCGATTTAGTAGAATCATATAAAGAACCAGAAATCCGCAAACAAGCGGGGCTCGTATTAATGTTTCAAAACCTATATAATGGCAATCAACAACTGTCGAAGGCAGGTCTGCTCGTACTCGGGGCCGACTCGCCGTGATCATGGACCCTGGGTTGCGGCTACATGCGGTCGGTCGGCATTGAGGCAAAGAGTCAGAGAAGGTTGTGCTGCTTATATGCGTGGCTCCTTTTCTCAACCTCCTGTAAAGACCCAAAACCCGAACTGTAAACACGAACACACAAAGAATTATGTAAACCCAACACACCAAACAAACCAGCCCCTAAACCCAAAATAAAGCAAGAGAAAACAAAGAATACTAAAATCCCAAAGCCTGCAGCCCTAAACCAAGGAAACGCCCAAAAGGCCTCCACAATCTCGCGTGACGCCTCCTAGCAAAGAGCGTGCTGCAGATTCTGGTTTTCTGTTGTTTAGGGTTTAGGGTTTAGGATTTAGGGTTTAGGGTTTAAGGTTTAGGGCTCTGGGTCAATGAATAAGTCAAGGTTCCGCAGGGGTCTCTTGTGTGGGAATTGTCGGGGTTCTGGTTTCGGGCTCGGGTTATCGGACAGGGGCATAGACTGCGGTGCAATGTAGTTAAAGCTGTGATGGCATCGTTAGATTCATCTTGGATTGTAGGCAGTGGTTAAGGCATGTTGAGGCTATTGGTATTGCCCTCCGTGTTTTCGGGCTTTAGCAGGATGGGCGGAAACTGATTCTTGCTCTACGTAGTGGCGCACCTGCGCCGGCAGGCCCCCCATGCCAAGTAGCCGAGAAACACCTGAGCACGATGGTGTGACTGCGTTAGGGTTGCTTGGGTCAGGGGTTCAGGGCTTGTGAGGTTCAGGTTCAGATCTAAAGCCTATATCGAGCAGCTGAGGTCCCCAAATGGTCCTAGGTACTGCTATGGGGGATACTTCCCCAAATCTAGTAATTCCTAAAGTAGAGACCCCACTTTCTACCATGTTGGTACTTTGGACCCTTTGAGGTCAGATTTAGTCTCCCAAATTGTAAGATCCTTATGATAAGGACCCCAAAATAAGGTACCCCTAATTTTCGGAAACTCAAAACCCTTCTAGAGCCCTTTAGAGGAACCCTTATAGTACCCTTATAGATCCCTTTAAAGGAACCCTAGGGTATCGAGCAGTTGGGGTCAGATTGTGGGGTTAAGGTGTTGATATCTCTGGGATGCCCAGTAACCTAGGAATAAAAAGGGCTCCCTTTTTGGCATTGGGTGACTTTATAAGGAGCCTAGGACTACAAAAAGGGATAAGGGTGCTGCTGCGTTTGGGAGTCGGGAGCGGGTTTGCAGCTTTACCCTGAGGCTCAAACTAGCCCAAATGCCCCCCCCCCCCCACACCCTGTAATAGTGGTGTAATAGGAATACAATAGGACCCTAATATAATCCTTATAGTCACTATGCAGGGTAAGGGGGGGGGGCCTTCTAAGGTATCCCTTGATATATGAGCCCTTAGACCCTTCTATACATAATTTACATAACCCTAGACCCTTTACAGGAACCTTCTATTACAATTTACAAATGGGTCAGACCCAGATGATATATACAGTCCCAGTCTGCCCACAGCCACAGCTAACCTCCGACTCCGGGGTTGCTATGCTTGACCCTATGTATCCAGTTCACCCCAGCCCACTGCCAGATGGCATGGACCATTGCTGCCCTCGGATTGCAACCGCACCCCTCCCCCCCCCACCCTGTAATAGTGGTGTAACAGGAATATAGCAGGACCCGAACATAATCCCTATAGTCACATCGCAGGGCAGGGGGGGGCCTTCTAAGGTATCCCTTGATTTATGAGCCCTAATTGGACCCTAATATAATCCTTATAGTCACTATTGCAGGATGGTTCAGCTTAGGCTTGAGGTTCCTTGAGGAGCTTTGGGCTTCTCTTCAGGGTGTAGGGGTCGAAGCACCCTGCTTTCTCGCCTATTCTACGGTGAGAAACCCATGAACAAGAACAAAGTAAGGCAACCGACAAGCAAGGAACAAGCAAAACATGGAGGTTAAGATTTAAGATTAATGGTTTAAGCTTAATTATATAAGGGTTTAAGGTTTAAATACGACATGAAACCTAAACGGGTTTAACTAATGATAACATACCGTCACGGGGATCAATTTAATAGAATCTTAAGAGTCAGACCTTCGTCTGCTTTTTGGCTTACCCTCAGGGTTCAGGGTTGAAGGTTTAGCTGTTTAGGATGTAGGGTTTCTCCTTGGGAGGGTCCGGAGGGTCCTAAGTCCTAGCTATGGGGGTCCCAGGAATATGAAGACCCTTAGGGATGCAGGGGTTCTTTCTTCGGAATCACCATGACGATTTGGGAAAGTCCCCGCTACCTACAGTCTCCATTGTAGTTCCTTTTTGGGGGTTAACCAATTCTATGGTTAGGATGCAGACCATAAACGGAACTACAATGGAGACTATAGGTAGAACCGACCCGTAGGGCAGGTCTAGCGGCCGGTGGTGCAGCCGCAGTCGAACATCCTGGCAGCTCTGAAGGCTTGCTGCGAGCTTGCGGCCTTGGGCCCTCAACCCCCAAACCCTAAGGGTCCGAAGGACCCAGTAATTAGGTACTCGGCTTTAGGATTGTGTAAATTGGGATTTTGGGGAGAGTACGATTATTGGGTACTTGGGCCGTTGGAGAAACGCAAACCCGAAGGCTCTTAGGACTTTCCCAGAAACTCCATGTAAAGTACCATTATGGAATTAGGCACCAAAAGACCATTCTTGTCATGGTTTGGGGGATCCAGTTCCATAGTGGTACAGATGTATTGAACTTCTAGGTTTTGGACTATTCTGCGCCTTCGGAAAAGGCTCCCAGGTACCAGTTCAGACTCTTTGAGTAGTTGAGCTTGCAAGACTAGCTGTTTCAGTGATCCCTGTCCAAGCTGATCAGACTGAGTTTAGCCTCTAAACGAATTAGAAGATGAAATACCCGGCTACTCCATAACCCTAGGGATCAAAATAACCCAAAAGCCTTACATAGTATCGTCTTTGGGCCCAAAAGCCTTAACATACGAGTCCTTAGATCCCTAGGGTGAAATCCAGATATCTTTGGGCCTCCGAGATGTCAGCTCCAATCTAGATCTCTGATGGATAATTACTTGCAGGGTCGGAAGACTTAGTAAGCAGGCAATAAGTAGAGTTATAAGTGCCCTAAGTGGGGTCTTAATCGGGGTTCTGGTACTTGTACTTCTATATTATATCTAAAACCGTAACTACTTTACCACTGGTTCCCCGGAATGCTTCCTTCTAATGGCTTACTCAGCTCTTTGTCTGGCGCAGAAATTACAGTGAAAGGGCTGCTCATCCGGCTCCGGCCCACACGTCTCTTCAGTCTGTTGGAGAGATTTATTGGGGATAATATAGGGGCTACTATAGAGATCCATTCCCCCATTCCCTACTAAGCTCCAGGGAGTCTTCCTTCACGTTGTGTTTCGGCTCCTGCTGCCGCTGCTAGGCTTTCACAACTTGCACTTCTATCTCTGCCGGCTGGACCTGGGTTGTACCCGTGGGCTCCATAGTAGATCCTTTTTGGGATTGCCTTATAGGATCCTCTATATAGGCCACAAAAAGGAACTCTCTACAAATACCCAAACTCTGTACTGGAGCCCGAACCACGAGACCATGTTTCTCCTAAAGCCTGCAACCCCTAAACCGCACAAAACCCACAACATGAAAGCTCTTCTACACCCTAAACCCTAAACCCCTAAACCCCTAGTCGGTCCTTCGGAGGACGGTGACCCAAGGCTGGGTTCCAGCCGCTTCGGCGCAGGATTCGGATTCGAGGATCTTCGGGGGATTAGGGGGTTTGGGCCTGGGTTTTGGGTAAACCTGGGGATCCCAAAACTTACCGCTTTAAGGGTTTTGACCCTCTAACAAAGGGGTCATAACCTACTGTTTTGAAGGGTTTGGAGTCATAGGAAGGTTTAAGGTGCAAACGGCCATGTACAACTTAGCCTAACGAGCTGGGATCGTGCAGACTACAATCAAGGTCCAGGAGGGGATGTTGGCTCGGGAATTATGACGCCAGGTCCGCCGGAAGCTAATCATAGCTTTTCTTCACTTCGGGTTTCCTAAACCCTAAAAAAAATACATGCGACAATACTAGGCATCCTTATATGGTATATTTGCGGCTAAATTAGTCCTTAAGGATCAGGGTTACTGTAAGGGTCCCTTTAAGGGCTCCTTGATAAACAGAAATTGAAATATTAGCATTCCTTTAGGCTCCTTTAGGGGCTCCTTTAAGTCTTTAAGCGGTGTATAGGGGCCCTTACATGTAGGGTTCTGGGTTTCAGTGCTGGGCTCAATTCGGGTTTCGGAATCTAGCGTCTGACACTTTCAGGAATCTGGGTCGACACATGACACTGGCATGTGAACAGCTGCTGAGCCGGAAGGATGCAAAGCGCTCCTCACCGAGAAAACTGAACTCTTTGTGTGGAGTCCGTGGATTTCAGGATTTCATGACACAAATTCAGAGAAGACAAATGCATCCCCGGTAGACTCATCAAGGTCAGGCGGATCCAGTAAGGGCAAGAGTGTCGCGAAGCAAATCTCCAGAGACTAGGGCATGCAAGCGCCCGACAATGGGGATGATAGGTTCGGGGTTTAATATCTAGGGGTTTTAGGCGCTTAGGCTGTGAGGGCTGAGGGCGCTTGGATGTTTGGGTCCGTATTCTCGGAAACCTCCGCACAAGAGAATAAAGACCTGTTAAACCCTCCTGGGACCTTGACAAAACCGCAGAAACATCAAGCAAACTAAACTATCTTTTTAATCCGATAAACCATACCTGGTCCTAGTTCTTTTTGTAGGGTCCCTGTAAGCCCGATGTTAGGGTTCATAGTAAGAACCTGCAAAAAAGGTAGGGTTTGGTAGGCTAAGGTACATAGAGAACCCTAAACCCTTAACCGGCCTACCCAAAACCCCTGTCTGAGACTTATGCCGAAGCTCGCTCCACGCTGCTGCGGCTTCCTGCCGGAACAGAAAGTTTAATAGAGTAACTACATTAGAATAGGGTTCCTTTAAAGAGTTCCTTAAAGGGGTATGATAGAATTCTAGAATTTCAGTGCCTTAATAATCAGAATAGGGTTTTGGGGCCCATTATACTATAACTAAAATAAGGAACCCCCCACAATGGCATTGGTAATTATTTAGTGCTCTACAGTAGGGTTTAGGGAAACCCAGCCACCGGGGCGGAATAGCTCGGTAGGCTTAGTGTCCATGAGGGCTTAGGATTTCCCATCTGAGCTGTAGAGGCTAAGGGCTAGATTCGGCCAGTTCGGGGTGTTTCTCTACTATACGTACATACATACATACATACATATATATATATATATACACATCAGGGACCATATAACCCTTAAAAGTAGGGGCCCTTTCCCTTAAGGTGTCCTGTGGTATATTGCTTAAACCCTTTTAGGGCTCATATCGTCTTTGAGGTATGCCGGGAGGGTCAAGGGACTTGGTAAGCACTTATCTTAAAGAGTGTTAAAACCATAACCCCGAGAAGGATCCCACTTACGGGACTTTTAACCCTACTTAATACCTACTTACTAAGTCTTCCACCCCAGGATCTTTTTGGCGTAAGAAACCCTGAACCAAAAGAACGCATAACCGAACCCTGAAAGGTAAAAAGCCTGAAAGGCAACCTATATAGGCACTATAAGGATCTGCTTACGAAACCTTAAACCCCAAACCTTGTGACTTACAGTAACCCATAACGGAACCCTTAAAGACAACAACCCTGAAAAGGCACTTAGGTACTTTGGACCCAAGTCTTCTTGCTATGTCCCGGACCCTCCAAGCAGGAACCACCTATATCCCTTTTTGAACCCTTAGAGACCCCTTGAAAGGGAACCTAATTATGGAAGACCTGGTTTCCCCTTATAAGGGCTCTTATAGAATCCTTGTAGAACCCTTATAGATCCCTTGAAATGGAACCTAATTATAGAACCCCTGGGATTCTTTTTCAAAGATAGACCCTCCGGCGAAGGGGCACAGGGCCGAACCGGTAGGTTTCAGGCTCATGCTTGCGTTGCTTCTTGGAGGCTCGGGGGACTTAGAAAGTAGGGTACCTTTAAGGAATCCTTTAAGTAAGGGTTTAGGGGTTTAGGAGGACTGCGGACATGAAACCACGGATTCTCAGTAGCTGAGATGTTCTCAGCCATATAATGAGTAATGAGAAATAGTAAGTAGCTAGTAAGTAGATTTATGAGGGCCCCAAGTGGGGTCCTAATTTGTGATTATAGTACACAACGCATCTACTTACTAAGTCTAGTTGGGCTCGAAGCTTGAAGGCCCCAGGAACCGTTCTGGGCGATACTTTCCCCAAACCTACTGGTGATTGTCTAAGATGGAAACCCTACACTCCGCTACATAGCTACTTAGGACCCTCTGAGGTCATTGTGATGTAGAAGGACCTCCGTTTTCATAGGTAGCACTAACAAGTGCCTAGTCAGCAGCAAGCAAATGCTACTCCTGTCTGACGTGCAGAAGCTCTGTATGTAAGAATCTTGAAAGACTAAGGTCTTCCTCAACCTAAGACTCTAAGACATTCCCCAATCGGGTCCAAAGCATGGTACTCGGGTTTAGGATAGTAGTTATATAGGTTGGGAGTGAGGAGAGTATATGATTATCAGGTACTTGGACCCTTGGGGATTCAGCAAGAATCCGAAGCAGTTTCCTTTGCGTACTATATAAAGTAAAGCCGAGAGACGCCGCAGCGGATTGTCCCTGACAAGCGCAACTGTATGGGCTGCCATGCCCTACATGTACCCATGTAGCAAATACTTTGGGTCCAATGTACCTATATCGGGAGTACTTTAAGGCCAATGTATATATATATATACTATATGAGTACATGGACCCTTAGCGATGCTTCTCAATTGCTTGATACAGCCTTTCTGGGCGCAGTGGCAGCGCAACATAAGGCCTGTGGGGCTGTGCTGAGCCGAAGTGTTGACTGAGGTGTCGATTGGTATATAGGCGATTACGGCTGAAAGGGCATATATCTTACAGGTTATGATGCCATAGAACTGCCTGTTGGTGTTCAGCGCAAGCCTCGAACCCCGAACCAGCGCAAAGGAATTCCTCGTGCCTTGGGTCAAGTAAACGGCAATGCTCGCAAGTCTAGTTTTTGGTATCGATGGTACACCGAAGATACGGGGTGGGGTGTACGACTTGCAGTTCTGGGTTGAGGGTGAGGCGGTTCGGATGGTCGCAGGCAGGAGCGGAGAGACCGCAACAGAGGAGCTAGTGCCGAGACGACTTCAGGCGAACACGAACATCAGTTGCGATGCCTGAAAATGACATGCAACAGGAGTGGTAATAGTAATAGCATTGGCACAGCCCGTAGAACACATTTGGCATAGTTACCTCGAGCCCATAACGTTGTCACCTGTATGCAAAGTTTAAGACGCTGTTGCTGTCAACCGAGCAAAGAGCACTTCACGAAAAACCGTACACCTAAACTGCCTAAACTCCTCGACCCTCCAAACCCCCGAAGACCACACCCCAATTCCAAAACTCGAAACACCTATCACCGCCGGCCTGCTTCGTAATGATGTCGGAGGCTTGCCTCTTCAGCTCGAGCCAGTCCTGCACTTGTTTGGTTGGAGGACTTAGGGTAGTAGAGATCCTTAAAGGGATCCTTTAAAGGGCTAAAAGGATCCTCAAAGGGATCTTTACGGGAGGGTCGGAAGACTTGAGCTACCTTTAAGGTTCCTGTGAGGATTCCTTTAAGGGATCTATACAGGTTTACAGGTCCAGGAATACTTGGAGACTCTGAGGTAGAGTTTTTATTGCCCTAAAAGGAAGCCCCCTCAAGGAACCCTTTATAGAGACCCTTAGCTGAACCCCTTAAAGGAAGCCCTTTAAAAGAAACCCCCCAAACTGAGCCCTCTAACAAACCCTAAACCCTCAACTCCAAAACCCTAAACCTCAAACCCTAAACCCCAAACCCTAAACCCCAAACCCCAAACGCTAAACCCCAAACCCGAAACCCTAAACCCGGAACCCTAAACCCGAAACCCTAAACCCCAAACCCTAAACCCCAAACCCCAAACCCCAAACCCTAAACCCCAAACCCTAACCCCCAAATCCGAAACCCCAAATCCGAAACCCTAAACCCAAACCCCAAACCCTAAACCCGAAACCTTAAAGGAACTCCACCGGGAGCCTCGAGGATGCTCTGGCGCCGGTCGATCAAATGCCCGACAAACTCGAAGGCCTTGCCAGGACCCAAACACTCGCAGTGAAGGTTCTCCGCTTTCAAGGGAGCTTTACGCCGAGACCTTCCAAAATCCTTTAATTAAGGAATATACCTTAAATTATAGTAGGATCCCTAATCTGATTTAAGGTATATATTCCTTAATTCCCTTATAGAGCCCTTATAGATCCCTAATCTGATTTAAGGTATATTCCTTAAGTAAGGGGTTTTGGAAGGTCTGGGTTCTCCGCTTTAAAGGGAGCTTAACGGGTTCCTTTAGCTTTTCCAGGGTTTCCTTAACGGTTCCGAATTAAAGGGATCTTTACCGGTTTCCTTTAGACTTTCTAGGGTTTCTTTGAGGGTTCCACTTTGAAGGGATCTTTTAGGGTTCCCTTAGACTTCCTAGGGTTTCCTTAAAAGGGTTCCGCTTTAAAGGAGTCTTTGAGGGTTCCCTTTAAGGGCTGCTTTCAAACGGGCTGTCGAAAAGGCTTCCTTTTATGGCTCCGCTTTAGGGGCTTCCTTAAGGGTATAGGTTTAGGGTTCCGCTTTAACTAGGAGTTGGCCATGACCCTGTAATGTAGGGGCCTTAGTTGTTGGAATAGGGTTTGGGGGTATATTGAACTAGACTTATAATAAGGAGCCCCAAAAGAGTATTGGTAATCAGTTAAGCCCCTATAGTAGGTAGAGTTTAAAAGCAAGCTTCTTCGTTTTCAGGGGTGTAGGCTACAGGTAGAAACCTTCAGTGAAGGCCTTCAACACAAACCTCCCACTGTAGTCTGGGGGGAAATATTTGCCGTGCGAAATAAACAACGGCGGATCTCACTACATGCTTCTACTATTACCTACAAGCCCTATGTGAGTGGTGTTTGTCAAAATTATGGTCCCTTTTTGGGTCCGTATTATAATACATCACCTAATATTTAGGGTACCCGAAAAGGACAATAGTTTTGACAATCATCCATGTGGGAGCCTCAGTACCGTTGATTGCTACAACTTATGGCCCGCTGGCCCCAGCTTTGCATTCCCAAGAAAGAGGGCGCTTAAACCCTCCTCCACCCTCGCAGCCCCCCTTGGAGGAGACAGCAAGGGCCCTAAGCCCTGAATCCTAAACTCCAACCATACCTCCCAAAGGCCTCAGGTCTCAATGATGCCAACTAAAACTCCCAGTCGAATAAAGGACCCCCGAAAGGAGCCCCTGAAGAAACCCCAACTTCTCGTAACTTAATCTAAGCTAAACCATAAACCAAAAACCCTAGCTAAACCAAAGCGGCTAATAAGAACCCAGATGCTGGGCCTTGAAGTATCCAGGGAGATTAAAAGCATAGACTTTTATAAATCATAATGGCCCCCATTAAGCAACAGGTCCCCAAACAAGTATTCAAGTATGGTACTCCAACCCAAACCCCAAAGCCCTAAACCGTTCCTTCAGGGAGTTGCTTTTCCTAGGCTGGCCCGTTAGATCCTCTGAAAAATATTCGTAAATAGGGTCCAATTAAGCCCAAAACCCTAAATCCTAAACCCCAATAAGGGGAAATATAAAATGTCCCAAAGGCCTACCTAGTTTCGAAGACAGAAAGTCGGCACCTCGAAGCCGAGAAGATCGATGAGAGCACCCTGATCGGCATCCTCTCCAGAGAGGTTTGTGATGGAGGGTCTAGGGTTTCAGGGTTTAGGATTCTATAGGGCTTATAGGGATTTTAGGGTTTAAAGGGTCTTTAGGGCTATGCATCTTTTCCAGAGAGGTTTGTGATGGGAGGGTCGCGGGGTTCCATACAGGGGCCTTAATGGTTAGAATAAGGTTTCGGGGCCCATTACACGATAGTTAGTTATAGTAAGAAGGATGACCCTAAACCCTAAACCCTAAACCCCTAAACCCCTAAACCCTAAACCCTAAACCCGAAACCCTAGACCCTAAACCCTAAACCCTAAACCCCTAAACCCTAAACCCATAGGTAGTTATTGAGGCCCCTATATTAGGGGTCTAAGGCTTCATGGTTTATAGGGTTTAGCGTTTAGGGTCTTAGGGAGCAAGGTAAAGGGTTCCTTTGACAGAGATCTCTAAGGGGTCCTTTAAAGGGATCCATAAGGGGTCCTTTAAGGGGATCTATAGGGTTTAGGGCTCTATAAGGGTCCTACGGCCTCGGGTTGCAGGGGTTTGGGGCTCATAGGGTTTACAGGGTCTCGGGTTTATACGGTTTATAGGGTATATGAGGCTTGTAGGGTTAATAGGGTTCGGGGTTTCAGGGTTTATGTCTATAGGGTCTTGGGTTTCAGGGTTCAAGGGTTTAGGGCTTCTACGGTGTATAGGGTTTAGATAGGGTTTACGGTTTCTACTTGGAAGGTCGGGGGGCTTAGTAAGTAGGTAGTAAGTAGACTTATAAGTACCCTAATTGGGGTTATGGTACTTATAAGTCCTGAAAATAACCACTTACTAAGTCCCCCGACCCTCCAAGTAGGGTTGCTCGTTTGAGGTCTGGGGTCTATTTGTTCATGGTTTCGGGCTCAGGGTTTAGGGTGTGTGATTGTCCATAAAGGGAGAACAGGCTTCCTTTAAAGGTTCCTTTGAAGCCTTACAGCAGGGGCTAGTGTAAGGGCTCGTTGAGGGCTTAGTATAGGGGCCTTTGCAGTCAGAACTGCGATTCTGGTGAAAGTTCTAGTGCGAAAAAAATTAACGAACCCTGGGGACTAGTATTCGTAATTGTTGAAGCCACGATCTGTAGGGCTTGAGAGTATAGATGGCGCGCCCTTAGAACCAAAATAAAACAAAGCTTTTTGTTTCATGGCCTCTTGGCGTCTTATTGCTAATTCAACAATCCGCAACAATTTCTGAGAGCACCCTACGTTTGGGTTGCAGGCTGTCAAGCCAAAGGCTTTTTGGGGCTGAACTGGCTTAACACCTAAAGGACGACATGAATTCCAAATGGGCTTTAAGGTTCGAGCGACATACATGGATTCCCCTAACCCCTAAACCCAAAACTCAAAACCCTAAACTCTAAACCCTAAACCACTAGAAGGGTATAGGACCCCCTACTTTTAAAGAGGGTGACAGCCACCTCAAATCCTAAATGCGACCAAAAAACACGCCAACAGTTGTGAGTTTGGCATTTCGTCATGAAACGCCGCTACTCCGAAGGGATCCTTTAAGTGCTCTGTATGGGTTTCATCAGGGTTGAAAGGAGTTTAAGTTTCCTTCGAGAGTTTAGGACACCACAATTGGCATCTATAGTTAATAACATGGTCTCCGGATTTCAGGTAACTTAAACAAACTCCGTAACAAGAAACCCAACAATGCATTGCATGCTCCTCTCCCTTGTCTAACCTGGCATGCACACGGAATCAGGGAACGCGCCGAGCTCAGCTTGGGGGCGATTTGAGCTAGGCTTTCGGCTTTAGGGTTTGGGGCTTTATAGGGTTTAGGGCCATCGATATAGGGACACATGGGTTTTGGGCTTGAGTAGGGCTGAAGGACTGCTGAGCCAATGAATCATATCGGTAATTAGTTCGGCCCCTACATTGCATCTCCTGCTTCCGGTGGCATTGAGGTTGTTGTTGCTCTTAACCCAGAGGCTCCTTCAAGGGTTCCTTTAAGGCTTTAACGGTTCTATAGGGTATGGGGCATAGGGCTCCATGTATACTAAAATTATGGAGACCATAAAAAGGATGGTCTGTGGCAACTTAATTCCATGAAGGTAGTATATACGGAGCCTTACACCCTAAACCCTATGGAACCCTGGTAGTATGTATGGAGCCTCTGGGTCATTTGAAGAAGCCGCTGCACCCATTGTAGGGCCGTCATATCAAGACGGATGCAGGGTGTCAAGGTCATGTCCCCAGATTGTAGGGTTTAAGGGTTAAGGGTTGAAGGTTTAAAGGTTTATTTTGTTGAGCTCCTTTTCTCCAAGCCAGCAGGTTCGAAGAGGCTGTAAAGCCAGGACAACACGGTTTAAAGGTTTAGGGTTGAGGGTCTAAGGGTTTAGGGTTTAGGGGTTAGGGTTTAAGGCTTAGGGGTTTCGGGTTTAGGGCTTTAGGGTTCAGGGTTCAGTGTTTAAGGGTTTCGGGGTCACCCATGTTGGAACACTCAAGCCCTTACCCTAAGGGCCCCAAGTACCTGAAACTCAAGTAACTGTTGTGCCTTTCCGATCAGGGTAGCGATTAGGGATTTAGAACATGGGGGCTTCCGAAAATTAGGGATACCTCATTTTGGGGCCCTTATAATAAGGATCCCATTATGTAGGGTACTATACCAGGGTCCCCTATTTTTGGAAACTCCCACATAGAGGGCTTGTCTGCCAGTCAATGAAGGGAAAGGCTTCTTTGGACACTTCGGACATCGCTGCCCCTGCAGCATGACGCCAATGCTGAAGATATCAAAACATGTAAAGGTTGGAGGACGGAACAACCCAATATAGACGCTGCACTTCAAGCCCCAAACCTGAAGCCACAAACCCAGTAACACTCTCTAAAACCCCTTCGGTTGATCATGGATTCTGCTTATCACGTATAATCTTCTGAAAGCATGTCTGCTCCATGTCTCTGTAACCTTCCAATTTTAAATACGCTCTGATTGAAAACAACACAACATTGTACAACCTAGGCCCTACCTTTGGCCCAGAAGACCCTTTTGAAAAAAACTCTTTCTGTATATATACATATATATATATAAACCATAATGAAGAACCTTAAAAAAAGTAGGTCTTTCTGGCTACAGGTAATCCTCAAAACCCATGACGTGCCAAAGTCGCGTTTCCAGAAGCTGGCCCATCAGCTCCTCCACCTGAGGAGCTCTTGTGTAAGGACAAGGGTTTATCGGGAATAGGGTTTAGGGTCCAAGTAATCCTCCCTTCTGGTTTTTAGTACCTAAGCGGTCCAACAGTCCTATAACAGGGAGTACTTGGACCCTTAGGGTTAATTAGAGTTTTCCAGGGTTCTGGATACTAGGGTTTGGGGATGAGGGCTTAGCGCTTAGTCCTTAGTGTTGAAGGGTTTTTTCACGGCTTCAATGATGTACGATTAGAGCTCTCGTCAGCGTCTCGTGGTGCGATTTGCGCTGTGGGTTCGACGGGATTCCGGTTGCACCATCATTGCCAGACTAGTCTGAGGTCAGGGGTCAGTGCAGACGGCTTCGTCAAAGGGTGCGTGACCCAGGTTGAACGAGTCCCTAAGCCCAAAATGCCCTACACCCCAAACAGATGCCCACAAACCAGCAGGGTCTCTTCCAAGTCAACAAGTATCCTCAAAGCCTAAGCCTATATGGTTTTCTGCATCGATTCCTACTAAACTATCATCCAGAGATCCCTTTAGACGGAAAGCAAAACAAAAAGGCCACACGACTACGCTGCTAAGCGAAGCCAGCTTAGGTTCCATCCTCCACCGCATGGAGCCCTGCATAGAGCCCTTGCAAATTTCTGTGGAATCCTTATAGGAACCCTTGACGGCAATCGCATAAAGCTCTGTGACCAAGTGGCCGTCATTGATGTGCCGCCGCCACCGCCGGCGCTGGAGGAACTTCCTGGCAAAGGGACTTGTTTCGAAGGTGATTTGTCTGACAAATTGAGCCACGGTTTAGGGTTTAGGGTTTAGGGGATTTCATAAAAGTAGAATCAGAGTTTGTCGCAACTGACACAACGTTACTAATCATTATCAGGCTTGGATAGGTTTGGATAAGTGCCTTTTGAAGCCGGGACCCCGTCATTTAGGATCTTTGTTAGCAAAGGTTTTCAATCTTGTGCAGAGTTTCTAGGGCGGCAAAACACACAAAACCGAATCATTTCCACAGTGTTTCGGGATTCAGGAGGCATACTATGGAATACTATAGGAAATTCTTCAGCACCCTATATCCGAAATGCTATAAACTAAACCCTAAACCCTACACCCCCAAGACCCCAAACCAAACCCTACCCCAGAACCCCAAACCAAACACTAAACCCCAAAGCCCTAAACCCTGAAGGCTGCGAATATGCTGCCATGACTCGAAGATTGCAGGCTCACAGGCCACGGGCCGGAAACGGTATGGACAATTCCAGGAACAATCCCCAAAGTTCGTTGTCAGAGGTTTCTAATTCTAGGGTCTTACATGCGCTTGTGCGTAGTTGTGGGGCTTACTTACATTTTAGCACTTTAGGTTGGGTTGATGTGTTGGGTTTAGGGTTTAGGCTTACAGTTCTTGCTTTCCCAATAAACCGTGGAAAAAATGTTAAACCTTCAGACTAATTACTACAAATATACATATATATATATGTTCACATCTATATACATACACATATATATATATATATATGAACCCAAGAAGTTTAAAGGTTTGGTACTGGAGAACTAAGAGCTTAGCATGTTAGGCTGATGTGTTGGGTTTGATAAAAAGTAGATCCTTTAATGGGGGTTCCTGTAAAGTATCCGGCCCCAAATTAGGGGATCTACTTTCTACGTAGATCCTCCCCAGAATCTGGGGATGTGTTGGGTCTGATATCCTCGGGTTGCGAGGCTTAAAGTCAAAACGGGCTGTTGTGGTTGCAATGCCATGTGGGGGTTCCTTTAAAGGGATCCTTTAGGGGTTCTAATCAAGGGTTTAGGGTTTAGAGTTTCCGAAATACAAGGATACCTTCTGTTGGGCTCCTTATACTAAGGATCCTACTGTTTAGGTTGCTACATTAGAGTCCCCCATTTTCGGAAAGTTCCATTTGTGTATCTACCTTACACTGGCTAATACCCAAACAGTAGAGTTTTAGGCGCCGAAAAATTTTTGATACTGTGGAATTTCGGGCAGATTTCAAAATTGCACGCAACATTGGCTGATTCCGCCGTGACATTGCTCTCGGGCTTGGTCTTGATGCAGTCGGGCGGAATGAGGATGCTCTTGCCCAAGTGCGGGTTCAGGTGCATCAAACCCTTCACCTCAACGAGGGCACACCAGCCTCAAACTCGCGAATTTTTTGCTGCTGCCAGGCTTCTTCTCCCCTGGATTGTTGCTTGCTTTCAAACAGAAATCCACATTGAAACGAAAGCAACACAGCTGGCAAGACCTGGTGGACCCTGTGTGGGCAAGAACCGCCACCGTGCTGAGCAGTCGGGAATGGGATGATGCCGCGGAACATCTTCGCAGAGCTCAGGAATCGTCCTTCCTGACATTCAAGCATCCGTATCAGCCGAACGTAGTGAATGGAGACACTCGCCTAGACACCCGAACCCTGGTTTGTGAGGATTTGAATTTAAATTTGGGATTTGATATTTGGAGCATTACCCTGAGACTCCAAATAGCCCGAAGAATAGGTACTATATTTCCAGACTTCAGGCCCAAAGTGGGTGCTACTCGTATACTTGGAGTCGCCAGGTTAGGGTGAAATTAAAAACTTAAACCGTAAATCCTAACCCAAACCCAGACAAAGAACCCAAAGCCCACAGCCCTTTGGAATGCCTTATAACTTTAAAGGTGTTCAGGGAGCCTCAAGTGGGGAGCCCCCAAACTCTTCGCCTAACCCCAAAACAAACCCCCTTAAACCCGCAAAACTTATAGAACCCGAAACCCGAACCTTTAAAGGAACCCTAGAACCCCAAAGCCCTTTAAAGGAACCCTAGAACCCCAAAGCCCTTTAAAGGAACCCTAGAACCCCAAAGCCCTTTAAAGGAACCCTAGAACCCCAAAGCCCTTTAAAGGAACCCTAGAACCCCAAAGCCCCTTCAAAGAGCCCTAAACCTGGCACTCGCCTGCTTGCCCCTGTCTGGCCAAGTGCTCTTCACAGGCGCCTCGGAACCAAAGGAGCTCCTCGCACAAGGGAACTTGGGCTCATTTTTGTTTGGGGTTCGGGGCTTGGGGTTTCTTAGGGTGAGGTTTAGGGTTTAGGGCTTAAGCATTTTTAGCACAAGGGAACTTGGGCTCTTTTCTAAGGGGGTTTACCGAACTTAGGGATCTGTTTTTAAGGGTTTAGGGCTTCTTAGCACAAGGGAACTTGGGCTTTTTGTTTTAAGGGCTTGGGGTTTAGGGATTAGGGCTTCTTAGGGCGGTTTTTGAGGGTTAGGCTCTCTTAGCACAAGGGAACTTCTCGCTTGTTGTGAAGAGTTTGGGTGTTTATGGCTTCTTAGCATAACTTCTTACAGCACAAGGGAACTTGGGCTCTGTTGTTAGGATTTGGGGTTTAAGGCTTCTTAGCATAACTTCTTACAGCACAAGGGAACTTGGGCTCATTTTTTTTATGGTTCGGGGTTTAGGGTTTCTTAGGGTGAGGTTTAGGGTTTAGGGTTTAAGCATTTTTAGCACAAGGGAACTTGGGCTTTTTGTTAAGGGTTTGGGTGTTTAAGGCTTCTTAGCATAACTTCTTACAGCACAAGGGAACTTGGGCTCATTTTTTTAGGGTTCGGGGTTTAGGGTTTCTTAGGGTGAGGTTTAGGGTTTAGGGTTTAAGCATTTTTAGCACAAGGGAACTTGGGCTTTTTGTTAAGGGTTTGGGTGTTTATGGCTTCTTAGCATAACTTCTTACAGCACAACTACCTGGGCTCTGTTTTTAGGGTTTGGGGTTTAAGGCTTCTTAGCATAACTTCTTACAGCACAAGGGAACTTGGGCTCATTGTTTTTAGGGTTCGGGGTTTAGGGTTTCTTAGGGTGAGGTTTAGGGTTTAGGGTTTAAGCATTTTTAGCACAAGGGAACTTGGGCTTCTTGTTAAGGGTTTGGGTGTTTAAGGCTTCTTAGCATAACTTCTTACAGCACAAGGGAACTTGGGCTCATTTTTTTTAGGGTTCGGGGTTTAGGGTTTCTTAGGGTGAGGTTTAGGGTTTAGGGTTTAAGCATTTTTAGCACAAGGGAACTTGGGCTTTTTGTTAAGGGTTTGGGTGTTTATGGCTTCTTAGCATAACTTCTTACAGCACAACTACTTGGGCTCTGTTTTAGGGTTTGGGGTTTAAGGCTTCTTAGCATAACTTCTTACAGCACAAGGGAACTTGGGCTCTTTTTTTTTAGGGTTCGGGGTTTAGGGTTTCTTAGGGTGAGGTTTAGGGTTTAAGCATTTTTAGCACAAGGGAACTTGGGCTTTTTGTTAAGGGTTTGGGTGTTTATGGCTTCTTAGCATAACTTCTTACAGCACAACTACCTGGGCTCTGTTTTTAGGGTTTGGGGTTTAAGGCTTCTTAGCATAACTTCTTACAGCACAAGGGAACTTGGGCTCATTTTTTTAGGGTTCGGGGTTTAGGGTTTCTTAGGGTGAGGTTTAGGGTTTAGGGTTTAAGCATTTTTAGCACAAGGGAACTTGGGCTTTTTGTTAAGGGTTTGGGTGTTTATGGCTTCTTAGCATAACTTCTTACAGCACAACTACTTGGGCTCTGTTTTTAGGGTTTGGGGTTTAAGGCTTCTTAGCATAACTTCTTACAGCACAAGGGAACTTGGGCTCATTTTTTTTAGGGTTCGGGGTTTAGGGTTTCTTAGGGTGAGGTTTAGGGTTTAGGGTTTAAGCATTTTTAGCACAAGGGAACTTGGGCTTTTTGTTAAGGGTTTGGGTGTTTATGGCTTCTTAGCATAACTTCTTACAGCACAACTACTTGGGCTCTGTTTTTAGGGTTTGGGGTTTAAGGCTTCTTAGCATAACTTCTTACAGCACAAGGGAACTTGGGCTCTTTTTTTTTAGGGTTCGGGGTTTAGGGTTTCTTAGGGTGAGGTTTAGGGTTTAGGGTTTAAGCATTTTTAGCACAAGGGAACTTGGGCTTTTTGTTAAGGGTTTGGGTGTTTATGGCTTCTTAGCATAACTTCTTACAGCACAACTACTTGGGCTCTGTTTTAGGGTTTGGGGTTTAAGGCTTCTTAGCATAACTTCTTACAGCACAAGGGAACTTGGGCTCTTTTTTTTTTAGGGTTCGGGGTTTAGGGTTTCTTAGGGTGAGGTTTAGGGTTTAAGCATTTTTAGCACAAGGGAACTTGGGCTTTTTGTTAAGGGTTTGGGTGTTTATGGCTTCTTAGCATAACTTCTTACAGCACAACTACTTGGGCTCTGTTTTTAGGGTTTGGGGTTTAAGGCTTCTTAGGGCGGTTTTTGAGGGTTTGAGCTCTCTTAGCGCAAGGGAACTTGGGCTCGTGGTTTAGGGTTTAGGGTTTCTTACATTAAGGTTTAGGGTTTAGAGACTCTTAGCACAAGGAACGTGGGCTCTTTCTGACGGGGCTTACCAGGATCCCCCCCAGGAGCCCTTATGGTCCTGAATAGTGTATTTGGGCACAAGGAGCTTAGGCTAGTTGTTTAGGGTTTGGGGTTTAGGATTGAGGGTTAAGCCCCGGTTGAAGGGTTTAGGGTTCAGGATTCAGGGTTAAGGGTTTAGGGTTTCTTAGCATAACTTACTTCAACACAAGGAACTTGGGGTCGTTGTTTAGGGTTTGGGTTTGGGGTTTAGGCATTAAGGCTTCTTCAGGAACTCAGGGCTCGGTTTTTGGGGGCTTAAATAAGGTTTAGGGTTTCTTAGCAACCAGAACTTAATGCTTTTTTAAGAGTTTACCAGGAACCCCCAAGAGCCCTGTAAGAGAGCCCTTATGGTCCTGAATAGTGTATGTGGGCACAAAGAACTTGCGCTCTTTGTTTCGGGTTTGGGGTTCAGCGTTCAGGGATTAGGTCTTCTTAAGGAACTCAGGGTTCCATCTGTAAGGGTTTATGGTTTAGGGTTTCTGACCAGGGAACTTGTGCTCTTTTTCAACGATTTAGGGTTAGGGTTTCAGAACTTCTTTTAACGTTTACATACTTCCAATCGCACAAGGAACTTGGGCCCTGTCTTTAAGGGTTTAGGGTTCAAGGTTTATGGTAGGGTTCAGGGTTTAGGGCTTCTTAGCATAACTTACTTCTTATAACAGCGTTCCAATACAGAAAAGGACAGTTTTGTTGCAGGTATCGGTTCACTCCATAGACAAATGAAACCCTGGAGCCCTAAATCTAGCAGAAACCCTAAGCACCAAACCCTAACAGCATGAATTTTGAAGGTGGTCCAGAAGCATCACATAGAACACTACAAGTCTCCACGGGATGCCATTTGGGCTTTACGGTTCAGGGCATAGTGTGCAAACCCGAGCAGGCGTTAGTGGCTGAGCTGATACGAACTTTCAGTCCTGCAGGGGCCAGTGCATTCCAACGAGTGTAAAGTATACTGCCTAGAGGCTCAATATCCAATATAATACCATTACGGAATTAGGTCCCTGAAGCCCTGACAAGCATGGACTTTTGGGGCCAAATTCCATAATGGTACTACATATGGAGCCATATGCCCTAAACCCTATAGAACCCTTACAGGAACCCTTCAAGGAGCCCTTAAACGAACCCTTTAAGGAGCCCTTAAAGGAACCCATGAGCCCCTGGGCCGCATACTTAAAGGATCATGGGACTTAGTAACTGGGGTTATAATTAGGGTAACTATACTTATAACCCCACTTAGGGTACTTATAACCTTACTTACTAAGTCCCATGATCCTCCAAGTACTCATTCAGCTACCAAGAGGCAGAGGCTTTACTTTTACCCGCAGATGGCTTTGACTCAAGCCCGTTACAATCCAGTCGGAGCTGTCTTACCCTTATATACCCTTATATACCCTCATATACCTTAAACCCTAAACCCTAGTATGAACTCATATGAAACCTATTTAAGGTGCTTGAACATGATAGATGCTTCTAGGGCTCATTTCTTCCTTAAGGTAGATTTAGGATCCTCCGCCTCGAGCACCAAGCCTCTGCTGTCCGGCTGGTTTGGCAGCTGCGGCGGGGCCCACATCAGCAGGCGTTGTATTCTTGCTTTGCGAGAGCTCTGCGCCCGAGGGCGGCCTTCCTGAAGCCGAAGCATCAACCTCCAAGGCCGCGAAGGTACGAACAATCATAACGAAGCCATTTTCTCCTCTGTGTTTCGCGATTCTCGTCTCTGCAGTGGTATGCCGCCCAGTTCACGAGAACCCAACTCGGGTCTCAAGCCCAACTAATGTATCAGGAGTCATCGTATATATATATATATATATATATATATATATATATATATATGTATATATATATATATGTATATGTATATATGTATATGTATATACGTATATGTATATATGTGTATATATCAAGGTACAGGAACCCTATTTTTTACACTGCCACTTGGTCACTAAGCCCAAAGCCCGGAACCCTAAACCCCAAAACTACAAACCCTACACCCCAAAAATCCTCCAGATGCTTTTTAGATCCCTTTTAAAGAAGCTTTCAAGATCACTTATAGGAATGAAAAAACCCCAAATTCCAATCCTGGAAACTCTAATCCCCCTGAATCCTCCCCTATAAATCCCTTAAGGGATCCCTTATAAGAGCCCTTGAGGATCCCTAGAAGAGAAAGGAACCCTAAACCCCTCTCCCAGCCTTTCGGCGCTCGACTTTGCTAGGTTTGGCTTTCGGCGGAGCCTGGGTGTTTGGGGTGCAGCGCTTACCCTAAGGCTCCTGGTCGTTGTGAGATCCCAAACCTTAGCCCCCAAAGCCCAAACCCTTCCCCCAGAAAGCCCATGACCCCTTTCGGAGCCTTAGGGTAGAGAAAAAGGGTTCCCAAAAAGAAGGGGTTTAAAGGGATCTACAAGGGTTCTAGAAAGGGTTTAAAGGTTCAGGGCAGTTTAGGGTTTAGGAGTTTAGGGGTTTAGGGCTTTAGGCTTCAGGCTTTAGGGGTTTAAAGCTTTGGGCTTGAGCTTGGGGGTTTCAGGGCTTCAAGGCTTCAGGTTTAGGGCTTTAGGCTTTTTGGCTTAGGGCTTAAGGTAAAAGGGTTCCCTTAAAGAAGGGGGATCTATAAGGGGTTCTAGAAAAGGGTTTAAAGGTTTAGGGCTTAGGGAAGTTTAGGGTTTTGGAGCTTAGGGGTTTAGCGGTTTAGGGGTTAGGGGAGTTTAGAGGTTCAGGAAGGGGAGCTTTCAAGTTTAGGAGTTTAGAGTTTAGAGGTTTAGGAGATCCTCGGGTCTTCCTGTTTAGGGGTTTAGGGTTTTAGGGTTTAGGGGTTTAGGGTTTAGGGTTTTAGGGTTTAGGGTTTAGGGGTTTAGAGGTTTAGGATCAGGGGTTTAACGGTTTAGGGTCTAGAGCTTCGGGGAGTTTTGGGTGTAGCGCTTGCAATAAACCCCGAAACCCTAAGAAGCTCCCACCCTAAGCCCTAAACCCCTAAACCCCGAAACCCTAAGAAGCCCCCCGAGGGTTTAGGGTTCAGGGAAGTTTAGGCTCTATACGGGTTTAGGAGAATTGATGGGCTCAGGCAAGTTTAGGGGTTAGGGATCGCCCTCTTCAGGTTCCTTTAGGGATAGGATCTTGAGTTTGAAGATTACAGGAATTGTTTCCCAAAGGGTGCTAGGTAACATTCTGGGGGAAACTTTCTCAAATCACGGTGGGTCCTGACATGGAAATCCTACATCCAACTATACGGGTACTTAGGAACATTTGTGTTGAAGGCTTCTCAATCAAGCTGTTGCTACAGATGGCTCCTCAACACCTTCAGCAGCTCCGTGCTCCATCGCCAAAATATGAAGCTCCGGCGAACCATAAGAAACCCAGTAACCCGCTATTTAAGTGCTGTACCCTAAACCAGGAACCCAAAACTAAGCTCTAAACTAAACCCGAAACCCTCAGCGCTAAGCACGAGAATCTAAGCCTTAAACCCTGGCAGGCCCTGGAACACAAGGAAACAATCCTATAAAGGGTTCCCTAAAGAATCTTATATAGGTAGGTTAGAGCTACTAGGGTAACTGTGCACGTATCACCCCAGTTACAACTTTACAAACGAAGTCCCCTGCATCCGATACCCCCCCTAAAACACAACCATAAATCCTCAACCCTACCTTGGCCCGGAATAACCTACCTTTTTCAGGACGTATATAAGGAAATCATAATGAGGAGCCCCACAAAGGTAGGTTTTTCAGGGTCCAGGTAAACCCTGTAACCCAACGGACTTGGGATCCGCACTGAGGAAGCTCCTCCTCGAATCAATGCCTCTGCAAGAGGGTCCATATACACTCCTGTTATGCTATAGGGTTCCTTTAAGGTCCCTTTGCGGGGTCCTTTAAGGTTTCTATAGAGACTTCAGAGGGTCGATATACACTACTATTATGGATTTAGGTCCCAAAAACCATAATGGGGATGGTCTTTTGGGAGCTAATTCCACGGAGCCTGGGAGCGGCTCCTACGGTTGATGATATAAATCCTAGGGTTCCTTTAAAGGGATCTATGAGGGTACTGTTAAGGGGCTCCATCAAGGGATCTAAAGGGTTTAGGGTTTATGGGGTTGATGATACAAACCCTGCATTACCGTAAGGACCCTAGACTATGGGAATATGGAATATGTCATGTTATGGGTAATGCAGGGTTTACATCAATAAGTTGTACAATATCTTTGGCTTTTGGCTTTGGGGTTTAGGACTGTTGTCAACTCATCAGTGCGAGGCAGTACTTCTCGGAGAGTTAAACTCTACTTGTAGTCTCCATTGTAGTTCCTTTTTTGGGATAACCAATTCAATGGTTAGGATCCTAAAATACAGATTTTGGCCAACCAACAAAAGGAACTATGGAGACTATAGGTAAACCCTAAACCCTTGCTTCCAGTTCTGCGGCTGGCGAGTTTCCGCCTCCTAGCAGAGGACGAGCTTCTCGCAGGGTTCGATAAGGAATAGTCTTGAAGAATGGTCGTTGAGCTCCCGTTTGGCAGCGACCTGCCCCGGTGGGGCGCCTGTTAGACGTCGAGACACCCAATCGAGAGGAGGAGGGGCGACCGTCGTTGCTGAACCCTGAGGCTCCAGTGACCTGAATACTTAGTAGGCTACTAACTTGCTAGCCACATATTTTGAACCCACATAACTCCAATTGCCCAATTTGGTACGTTACCAACATTTACTAACCATGTACTATATATGCCAGTTTATCTAAATAGTAGGTTACTAGCCACATATTTTGTACCCCATTAACCTATATACTATACTATTAGGTTACTAAATTACTAACATCTACTAACCATATATTTTTAACCCCAGTAACCTACTATTTAAGTAACTGGAGCCCTAAGGGAAGCTTTTCGTAACCACGGCTACAGAGGTCTCAGACAGAGAGACCTTGGAACTCCTGAGCGAAACACCAGGCCAAGCGAATAATGTAGGGGCCTTAATAACTAGAATAGGGTTCCCTTTAAAGGGTTCCATAAAGGGGTCTAGAAGAGATCTATAGTAGGGCTCTATGATATAAGGGCCTTGGATTCGGGGCGTAGATTATACTGTTCCCTTTGAAGGGTTCCATAAAGGGGTCTATAAGGGATCTATAGTAGGGCTCTATGATATAAGGGCCTTGGGTTTTGGACGTACATTACACGATTAAAAAAACCTTGCAGTAATGGAGCCAGCAAGATACAACCGGCAAGTTTTTCGGCTTCTATAGTACGGCACCGAACTCCCTTCTTCAGGCCTTAGTACATAACAGATGGCTACATGGACCCTTAAGTAGAATTTTGAGGTTCAGACCCTGAATCAGCCCTAAACCCTACAGGGCACAGCGCTTCGGGGGTCGGTGTCTGGAGGTTCGCGTCTTCCGGTTCCAGCTGTAGTTTTATTTAGGGTTCAAAGGTTTTACGAATCAGGGTACCCTGAGCCCTAAACCAGTAAACCCTTAAACCCTGATGCCCTAAACCACCAACCCCGACCCCTGAACCGCTTTAGGGAAGTTAACGTCGGGGCCTTAATGACTACCTATGCTATTTAGGGGGGGGGGGGTCTTTCATATAGTTGTAGTAGAATATAACCCCCCCAAAGCCTTATTCCAATCATTAAGGCCCACATACCAAAGAGCCGTACTCTAGATCCCTTATAGAACCCTTGAATGGTGTAAAAAATAGGAACCCGATTCTATTTTTTCAGGCTCCTATGTTAGGGCTGTTCGAACCTTAAACCCTTAACCCTAAACCCCAAACCCCTAAAGCCCTAAACCCTAAAACCCTAAAACCCCTACACCCCTAAAACCCTTAACCCCCTGTTTCGGAGCTGTTCGAATCGCGCCTTGGCCTGGTGGAAGAAGAGCTGCTCGATTGGCTCCTTCTCAGGCTCCTTGGCATCTTTTCTGTTTTTGGTTGTTGTGGCTTTCGGGGTATAGAGTTTAAGGATATTGGCATCTTTTTTGATGGTGCTTTTTAGGCTTCAGATGTTGTCGGGTGTTTTTCGGCTCCTTGTCATGTTTCTGTTGGAGGTTTGTTGGGGGCTTTAGGGTTCCCTTAACAGGATCTAAAAGGGTGTCCTTTAAAAATGGTCTAGTAGAGTTTAGGGTTTAGGGTTTTCAGGTTAGGGTTTAGGGTTGAGGCTCCTTGGCATCTTTTTGGGGTTAGTTGAGGCTTTCGGGCTCTAGACTGGATCTTGGTATCTTTTTTGATGGATCTTTAGATGGCTTTAAGCTTCAGGGGTTTAAGGTTTAGGGTGTTTTTGGGCTCCTTGGCATCTTTTTGATGGACTTTTCAGGCTTTGGATGGCTTTAGGCTTCACGGGTTTAGGGTTTCGGGTGTGCTAGGGCTCCTTCTTGGCATTTTGTTTTGGGGCTTCAGGTCTTTAGGCTTCTTGGGAGTTTGGGGTTTAGGGTGTTTGGGGGCTGTGCGACCTTCAAGGCCTCAATCGGGAACCTGCTGGCATTCAACACTCAATGATCCTGAAGCTTGGACCTTGAGCCCTAAACCATAAACCCCTCAACCCTAAACCCTTAAAGCCCTAGAACTCACTGACCCCAAACCCAAGGAAATCAAAGTTGAAACTTTCAGAATCGACTACCTGCCTCAAACGAACCCCAACACTTTAAAAGTTGACTTTACAGCCAATAAGAAAACCTAAACCACTGAAATCCACAAGTCGAAATCCTCCAGATCCCTTTTGGATCCCTTAAAGGAACCCTTAAGGATCTCGTCTAGGATACCCAGCAACCTAAGAATAAAAAGGCCTCTCTTTTTGGTATTGGGTAACTTTATAAGGAACCTAGGACTACAAAAAGGGAATAAGGGTACTACTGGGCATCCTAGTCTTATAGGAGCGATGAGCCCCCTAAACCCCTAAAGAACCCTACAAAGCCCTAAGCCCCAAAAAACCCTCCAGATCCCTTTTAGATCCCTTAAAGGAACCTTAAGGATCTCCTTTAAAGGAACCCTTAACTGAACCCTTTTGAAGGAACCCTAAAGCCCTAAAAACCTCCAGATCCCTTATAGATCCCTTAAAGGAACCCCTAAGGATCTCTTTTAAAGGAACCCTTAACTGAACCCTAAACCCCTATATCCCTAAGCCCCTGAAATCCCGAAAGCCGGAGTCTTCGGCACCGAGCTGCCTCGGGTGTGAGCCGCCAGGCCGCTGTGGAGTCCGCCTCTTCCAAGACGAGCCCCGGGGTTTCGTTAAAGGGCTCTACACTAGTTAGTAAGGGCTCTTAAAGGGCCGCTTAAAGGGGATCTATAGGGTTCCTTGAAGGGATCTACGTGGTTTAGGGTTTAGGCTTTACACTTGGAGGGGCAGGGGACTTAGTAAGTATGTGATAAGTAGAGTTCTAAGTCCCCTGAATGGAGTTACCCCAGTTATATCCCTACTTAGAACCTACTTACTAAGTCCCCTGCCCCTCCAAGCAGACCCTAAACCCTAAACCCCATGGATCCCTTTAAGGAGCCCGTTTTAATAACCCTTACTAAGTCCCCTGCCCCTCCAAGCAGGGCTTCCCTTTAAGGGGTTCTGCAGGGAGCCTCGGGTTCCTTTACAGACCCTGTAAACCCTTACCCTAAGGGTCCAAGTACCCAAATAGTAAGGTGTCAAGGTCCAAAAACCATTCAGAGTATGGATTTTGGGACCTAAAACCCTACTATTTGGGTACTCGGACCCTTAGGGTTAATAACCTCCCCACAGTTTGCGGGTTTACAAGCTTTGGCCTCTTGAGTGCTTGGGAGTTTGTGGTTGATTCTACAGTCTGTTGGTTCAAAGCACTATAGATAGCAGTGTTCTGCTCAGTAGTTTTTTTCATTATCGTTGCAGCTTGTTGTTGCTTCCTTTGATAGTGTTATGTATGCTGTTTCTCCATATTTCTGAACGGCATACATATTAAATCTTATGTTTGTCGATCTGTAGTCTTCATTATGTTATTTGTCTACGTCCACCCATCTTCCTTCCATGTTGACCTCTTTGTTCAAACGGTTTTTTTAAGTAGACATTTTGTGCTTTCTTTATTTTATCAATGTGGCTGGTTATTTCTGTGTTTCGTCTTTCTTTGTGTCGGGGTAGCAATGCCCCGCTCACGGGGTGTTCGTGCCCAAAGACACTGATGCTTAGAGCGTTGTTGCCTCCTTTATGATGGCGACTGTGATGCATAAAAACGCTGACGATGGTGATGACGATCGTTGCTGGCTGCATGATGGTGGTGACGACAGTGATGGTGATGACCGTATTGCTCCAGGGATCTAAATACTCATGTATTAGGGCTCTTGGGCCCAAACCCTAAGGATTCAAATGGCCCAATAATTAGGTATTCGGCTTTAGGGTAGTAGTTATGTAGGTTAGGATATGGGAGAGTATATGATTATTAGGTACTTGGAACCTTGGGGAAAAACGATACGCCATCAGTCTTTTGGGCCTTTTTGATCCCTAGAGTTGCGCGACATTGCATGACGTTAACGATGCGGTGGTCACGGGGATGGCCAAGGCTTGGCCACCCCTTCCACAAAGAAAGAAAGAGCACAGAACAGAAGCCTGAACCCTGAACCCTGAACCCTAAACCCTACCCTAAAGCCCTAACGCCCCAAATTCTCTAACCGTTCGGGGTTAAGGAAAGAGCCCTGGAAACCCAAACCCCCAAAGCCCTAAAACCCAAATTGCCACTATAGAACTATAGAGCCGGAACCCCTGTAGAACCCAAAAAAGATTCCAGGGCTCTCTGAACCTAAAACCCAGCACCTTAAACCCCGTATTGCCCCTATACCAGGACCCCCAAAGTGCCCTTTGATAAAGCTTTGGGGTAAAATGATGGTAGCTGGGGCATCTAGGTAGAACCCATAAACTCAAAGCAACCCCTATAGATCCTAAACTCTAAAACCTACACTCCATACCCTAAACCTAAAACCTAAGCCCTAAGCGGTTCGCCTCCAACGGGTAGACGAAATCAAGCTCTGATCCAAACCTGGGCGATACGGCTGATGTTGATGGACAACCCTAGCCAAATAGTCACAGGGTTTCATGCGCTACATGTACCCCGAAACCCTAAACCTAAACCCAAAAATCCTAACCCCCAAACCCCAAATCCTAAACCCTTACTAAAACCCTTCGCAAGCAAATCCGGCTGACCTGCGACGACTGGGCTTCTCGAGCATGTTTTTGGTGAATCTAAAAAGCTCGTGCCATAAACCCTAGGTTATACAGGTAACCAAAGGCTCCAAATAGACTACCGTTATGGAATCAGTTCCCAAAATACAATCCTTATTACAGGGTCTTTTTAAGGGCGCAATTGCTCAATAATGGTGTGTGTATATATATATATATATATGTATTATAAATGGAGCCTTAAGGGTGGCTATGATCCTTACATTAAAGACGAAATCAGCCGTAAAAGGCTTAGGGCTCTAGGGCTTTAGGGTTTAGATTAAGGGCTACATGAACCCCTCCAGGAACCCTACAAAAAGTCGCTAAAATCTGAAGGCCCTGAAGCCTGGACCCCAGCTGCATAGGGTTTAGGGTTTAGGGTTTAGGGTTTAGGGTTTAGGGTTTAGGGGTTAGGGTTTAGGGTTTAGGGTTTAGGGTTTAGGGTTTAGGGTTTAGGGTTTAGGGTAACCGGATACCATCACTACAAATTCTCAATCCGGGTAGCTCATACTCCATCTCCATCTGCGGACCCTTCTTCGCTTTGGCTTTCTGATCCTCCGCTGGGAAGCGGTCATACCTGGACACAGCAACCCCAATTTTTGGAGTTTGTTAAGTCGTCAGGGTTTGCTTGTCAGAGTTGACTTGCTGTGGTTCAACTTCCGGGGAGAGTTTTTGATCTCTGGGTGTTTGAAACTTTTCGGGCTGTGCTTTTTCTTGAGAACTTAACGGCTTTGGGCTCGCAGCATTCACAGTTCCGAAACAAGCACCGCGAAGGCTCCACTAGGCTCCTGAGTAGCCCCTTGAAAATAAGGGCACCCAATTCAGTTACAGGTTTAGGTTCAGGGTTTGGGGTTTAGGGGTTTAAGTTTATAGGGTTAAAAGGTTTAGGGTTTAGGGTGAACTGTTTAGCTTTAATAAGGGAACCCATAGAGAAAAAGGGCCAAAAGGGCACTACTCGGGAACCGAGTCCACGAAACCAGATGCAGGAAGCAACAACGGCAGCAAGCGCCTGAACACAGATCAGCAACAGCACCCACATTTCCCTACAGACATATGCTCCTTAAAGCATCTAAAGCCCTACAAGGACCACTGCTAAACGCTATAACACCCTGCAGAAACACAGTCTACCCGACCATAACGGGGTTGATCCCCGCCACCAAAAATCCATGCTCCTAACATCCGTCAAAAAATGACAAAGCCCAAGTCTCTATTCGACCCAACAAACCCTGTTGAAAGAATAGCCACACTTGTATGCCCCTACCCTATCAATACTCGTCCCCGCAAAAACCCAGAAGAGAACCATCTATAAACCCATAGTCAGGTCATAGTGCACTACATGAACCGCTACACAAATTACAAGGGTCTCATTACCCACTTGTCATATACTCTCCAAAGCAGAAACCTACATAACTACTATCCTAAACCCAAATACCTAATTATTGGATCGCTTGGACCCTTGGGCAAACCTTCCGCCTCTCTGGGATGGCTTTAGAACTCTGAAAAACAAATTAATTACTCACTCTCAGGCCTCCCCACAAACACCATACCAGGACCACCCCCCAAGTGCCCTTTAATAGAGCCCTTATGGCTTGTGGATGGTGGGCATTTAGGGTATGATAGAGGGTAGTTCGGGGGTCTAGGCACAACACCCATAATCACTTCCAACAGTGCGCCCCGACAAAGCCCTCTCTAGAACACTTGCGAAGGGTCCTGGGCAAATGAAATGAGTAGGATACTGTCCCAAACCAGAGTGGTGATTCTAATTCTAATTCTTGTTAATGAAGCCCAATATTCTATTTACTACATCGGTAATGTAGGCGCCTCAATAATTAGAATGGTGTTTAGGGGCCCATTATACCATGATTACAACGCGCCAGGGCTTTGTTCGCGCGCGCGCGCAAAGGCGCGCATGTTGCAAATTCGTTGGCCCTGCCAATGAATTCGAGATGTTGGGCCACGCAAGACTGTCCGAAAAAATGCTGTATTTTTTCTCTTCAGGCGAAGAGCTGCACGTCATCATGGCTGGCACATGGATGCTCTGCGGCAATGGATGGAGTCTGATCTGCACGTCATCATGGTTGGCACATGGATGCTCTGCGGCAATGGATGGAGTCTGATCTGCACGTCATCATGGTTGGCACATGGATGCTCTGCGGCAATGGATGGAGTCTGATCTGCACGTCATCATGGTTGGCACATGGATGCTCTGCGGCAATGGATGGAGTCTGATCTGCACGTCATCATGGTTGGCACATGGATGCTCTGCGGCAATGGATGGAGTCTGATCTGCACGTCATCATGGCTGAAGCTTCTTCGAGGCTCAGAGGTCTGCGGGAACAACCCGGACACGTGCAGGAAATGCTGCAAAAACCAGTACTTTGGCACCCTCTAGAAGCAAGAATGCCTGAAAGTACTGCGCCCGGCAGCAAAATCGCAAGCCTGAACCCGTCGCATGTTGCGCGCGAACAGGGCTCTGGAGGGTATAACAAGGACCCGCCCCCCCCCCCCCCCCCCCCCCCCCCCCCCACAATTATATTGGCAATTAACTAGGCCCCTATAGTACTTCGGTTGATGCTATAAATCCTGCATTACCCATAATCAGGAATATACCATAATTCCCAGCTTAGGGTCCTTAAGGTAATGCAGGATTTATATCATCAACTGACCAGACCCTTCTGGGACTGTTTTCCCCGGGCCTGACCAGCTTCTGCGCAAGGCCACGAAGGCGAGTGAAGTCCTGCTTGGTGATGGTCAGTATGACCTGCGCCAGTCAAAAAAAGGAACTACAATCGAGACCATAGGCATATGCAGGTGCTTGGGTTGAGGAGTTTAGGATACCAGGCTTGTAGGTTGGAGTGTAGGGTTGTTCCTGGTAGGTGGGATCTCAAGGTAAGAATTTGAGTAAAGCCTCGGGTATTTTTCATGCTATGCCTTGGCAAACCCTAATACAGTACCCTACATAGTAGGATCCTTATTAGCAGGACCCCCAAAATAAGGTACTCCATATTTTCGGAAACTCAAAACCCTAAACCCTTTATAGTGCCCCTAAAGGATCCCTTTAAGGAACCCTTGAAGGATCCCTTCAAAGGAACCCCGACATTCGCTTCCAGGTTCTATGCCTGGCCTCCTGGATGGCCTTGAACTGGTCACTTTCGTCCGTCTCCTTTCCCTGGGTGGGGACTGGGGTGGCAGATATACTGAACCATCATCCCTGAGAGAAGGAGACAGAGAGAGAGAGGCAAGGAAAGAAAGAGAGAGAGAGAGAGAGACGGGAGAGCGGTGAGTGAGTGAGTGAGTGAGTGAGTGTTGTTTGACTCTGAGAGTGTGTGTGCGTGTGACAGAAATGTTGTATCTTTATAAGCAACCAGCAAACAAACAAGCAAAACAAACAAACAAACAACAACCCAGCAACCAAGCAATCAATCAAACAAACAAACAAACAAACAGACATACAAAAATACAAGCATACTTGCATGCATACATAACTGTATGGTTGAATATCTATACATCTACACAGTAGTATGCCCCACACAAACATATATATGTGTATGTATAATATATATATATATATATATATAGATATATATATATATATATATATATATACATATATAGATATATATATATATATATATATATATATATATATATATACATATATATATATATATGTGCGTGTGTGTGTGTGTGGGTGTATGTGCACACACACAAACACGTGTATGAATTAATGTACATATGTACGTACGTATGTGTATATATATATACATATATGTATATCAAGAACAATTTGCGTGTATATGCACAGAGACCTGACCAACTAACTGCACAATTATGCAACTAATACGTTCACGCATACCCTCACGCCTGAACCGTAAACTCGTCTAAACCCTAAACCCCAAGCCCCTCGAGGCATACGAGGCTGGTTCGGGAAAGTCGCTTTTCCGGCCGTCGTGTCGTAGACGAACTCAGCAATACTCTGCCTGTCCACATCTTCTCCTGCATGAAACGGGAGTTTCCGAAGAGAAGGGGTACCTTATTTGGGGGTCCTTATAATAACAATCGTACTATTTATGGTACTATATTAGGGTCCCCTATTCTCGGAAGCTCCCAAACGGCAAACCTAGAACCCAAAGACCAGCTAACTGCGTTACAAAACAACACCCAAATCCTGGATCCCAAACCGAACTCCTCAAACCCGGCCAAACCGAAAACTGGAGGACCCATTTGCACTCAGTTTCGAGTATTCGGAAAGCATACTTTCAATGCGTCCTAAGTGCATTAGAGGTTTTCTGCAGAGAGGTCTGGCCCTTGGGGGCTCGTCGCAAAAGCACATCCTTAGAAGGCTCCATGTGTACTAATACCATTCTGGAAATAGGCCCTTAATACCATAACAAGGATGGTCGTTTGGAACCTCATTCCATAATAATGGCAGTCTATCTGGAGCCCCTGGGACATATATAACAGGTTGAACTACTTTTCTGGAAAGATCGGCATAGTACCCTTTACTCTACTCCCTGAACCCTATGCCCTAAACCCTACACCCTTTACTCTACTCCCTGAAAAACAAGCAAAGATGTAGGACAAGCCTAAACCATAACCCTGAAAGGAACACCATTAAATAACGAAGCAAAAACAAGTAACACAGAGCCTTTTGGCACACAACACATAAAACAATCCTTGTAGGAAGCCTGCAAGGACGCCAAACTCTAAACCGTGGACCCTATAATACCCAGAACCCTAAACCATATGCCACATGGGAGTCCCCGAAAATCGTAGACCCCCAAAACAAGGTACCCCTAATTTTCGGAAAGCCCCATATCGACCGGTAAACCCACGTATACACCCGATGCCTGCAGCCTTTCCGCACTGATTCAGGAAGGAGGTGAAGTACCTCACTTGGGTGGTCCTCTAAGGGGTCCTTAAAGGTATTAGGGTTTAAGGTTTAGGGTTTTGCGGTTTAAGGTTTAGGATTCAGGGTTTAGGGTTTATATATAAGGGGTTTTCGAGCCGCCCCGTATATAATACCATTATGGAACTAAATCCCGAAAAGCCTGATATGGATGGTCTCTTGGGGCCGAATTCCATAGTGCTACTATATATGGAGCCTCTGGTCCATGTCAGGGGTCAGTTTAAGACGCCTTTAAAAAAGCTCCTGTTTTGGGGCTCCTTCTGGGTACCGCAAGGCATCGGCAGGTTGAAATGTCTAGGGTCCAGGGATTTCAGGGCCCTGTAAGTAAACTCCAGAAAGTTGGACCATGGGTTTAGGATGATTAGTGCTGGTATTCTCCAACATGTCATGCTAAGGACATGAGAATAACTAGGATGCCCAGTAACCTAGGCATAAAAAGGGCTCCCTTTTTGGTATTGGGTAAGTGTATAAGGAACCTAGGACTACAAAAAGGGAATAAGGGTACTACCGGGCATCCTAGATAATGATGCTCCAGCTGTCTGGCTTCTTGAAGGGTTCCTTTAAGAGTACCCCCCTTGGGGACCCACACTACTCACCTTGCCCTGCGGATCCCAATGATCCCATTTACAAAAATAGTGTTGGGTTCAGCGGTTTGGGGTCTAGCCCAAGGGTTCTGGTAAATAGTTTCGGAATCTTCTAAGCAAAGACCTCGGGGGAGACGTGAGGGCTCGCTTTTCCTAAATCCCAAAGCACGCCCTAAGGGTCCTGGTATCCCCTTGGGAGGGTGCGGAACCTAGCCCGTGCGTCTTTTTGGGGAGAGTCTCAGAAGTGCGAGTTTTGAGCGTCTCCAAAAGCATCAGAAACCCGAATGTAGGGGCCTTTTAATAATTAGACTCGGATCTTGTGGTTCCTCATTCTCATCACAATACTTTTTACCCCCCCAGCCCTATTCATTGATTGTAAGGTCCCTACATTAAACCGTAGAGCCCTGCAATGTAGGGTCTGCCTAGCAATGCGGAGGGCAGCAGGAAACATCCCGAATCATGCACTGCCCAGGCGGAGCAACTCCAAGCAGACCCGCTCTGCTCTAGAGCGGTAAAGGTTTAGGGCTTAGCGTGTAGGGGTTGGGGTTCAGCTCGATTCTTGGGCATTCACGCTATGCAGTGGTTTGGGTATGTAAATTCGCCCCAAATACCCTGAACTTACATTGCCCGGGCCCTGCATTTACAGTCCATGTCAAGCGGCTGCCGCGCGTCGTGCCGATCCCCGGCCAAGCCGTTCGGATTCACGAACCTTTTTTGCTGAATTGAGTTTTAGGAGTTTAGGCTTTAGGGGTTCAGGGTTATAGTCTCCATTGCGTTTCCTTTTTGTGGCTTACATTTATAGGATCCTTTACGCTAATCTCCAGCAAGGAACTACAATGGAACCAGTGGGTGGGTCCAGGTGGTTCTTAATCAGGCTCCACTCCAAAAGAAAATCATGGATGCCTATGCCCAAGCTACCTGCAAAGCCCTATACCTATACAGCACTGGGACGCTAGAATTGAAGCCGAAAGAACACCTTAAGAAAGCCTGCATCGAACCTTGTAGATGCCCCAAAGAACTCTTAAAAGGTTGTTTGCCCCTAATTTCCTGGAGCTTTGAACCACAGGAGAGCTTCGTGCCAGAACTGTAGGTCTTCGAGGTGTGAAACCATTGAGAACCATTGTAAGAAATCAATGAGAATATGAGTCCTGCAAGACTATCTGACTCGTTATCTGTTTTGGATCGTGTAATTCTAAGATCTAGTGTATCCATTAGAAAGTTTATCAGATTTGGCAGTGGTGAATAACCTCTAACACAAGAATCAAAACTTCCTACGGGCCTTACAAAAACCGTTTGAAGGAACACAAAGCTTTCAACTTTCAACACCGGAAGCACCTTTTTGAGCGCATGAAGAGGCATTCTGCACTGAAGCAGTTCTAGACCTATTACACAAAAAACACCATGAACACACAAACAATCAACACACTAAACTAAACCGTGCCCCAAGCCCTCAATAACTCTAAACTCAACCGTGCTTTGCTAAGGCATCCGGGAGGCTTCTGCAAGCAGAAGCCATCCTTGGCGGACACGTCCCCCTTCTTCGAGGGCTCTTTGTCCAAGACCTGCAGATTTCGGGGGGGGATCCTTTAAGGGATCCTTTAAGGGATCGTTAAGGGATCTTTGTCCAGACCTACAGGATTTGGGGCTTACCCTAAGGCTCTTTCGGATGTCCAGGGCAGGGGTTCGGATCTGTGTGGCAGAGCTTCGGGCTTCGAACCTCATGGTGACGTGCCGGGGCTCTCAGCAAAAAGTCCTTCAGGGGCCCCAGGGCCCATGGTTCATGTGATGTGCATGAGTGATGCAAACGTATAGAGCCGGAGAACACAGCATGAGATTCAAGTAACCCAACATGTGGATGGCCGATGGTCTTCCATGGTTCGACGAGGACTCTCGTTGCGTGCACTGCTTTTTGGTGGCAGGCTTGTGGATGCATGTGCTGACGGGTACATGTCTCAAGCGTACTTTTAGATGTTCTGTAGTGGGCCATGCCACGGGTGGACCTTGAGAGTTTGGCCGGTGACTTGTCAGCTGTTGTATGTGAGACATCGTGGTGTACGTGTGTGTGTGTGTGAGAGTTTTTGTGTGCATACCTGGAGATGTGTGCTTATACAAGGCGTGCTGAAAACCTTTCTGCCTTCAAGGGCTTTCCTTCATTGCGCCGATCAGAAAAAGCCTTTGAACACGCTGTTCAATGAAGTGAGCGACCACTGCAACATCGCATATGAAGATATGGAAAAGTACCTAGACTTGGTGCTGGCCCTCTATGAGAAATCGCCTCAGGGCACCTGGGTTTGATTCAGTGGCTTTTGTGTTGCAAGGTTTTGCATGTACGAAGCCAATATGATCTCGACCTTAACTTGACTGAAGGTGACTTGAGGGTGGTCGATCTTCAAATGGTGTTTATCCAGATTGACAACGAATGTAACAGCCGGTTGAGCCATGCTAGATACCAGAAAGATCAGAAGCAGTGGGCAAAGGACGAAATTCAGCTGCACTGTGCATGCATGGTATGCAAGGCTTTCAATCGTTGCAAAGTGTGTTGGTCGCATCGCAGATAAGGAAACGGATGTGTTGTTTGGCATTCTGAGCTATGCTCGCCGGTACTGGCGCAAGAGTTTGTCGAGGCAGACCACCACGATAGTCTCTTAAGTGGCATTGTTATCTGTTTCATGCACTTCCAGCTATATTTGTCGAGTCTTTTGTATGTTCATGGCAAACGAGGTTGCATCAAAACTCCAAGCAATTTTACGTCCGAATCCAAAGAAAGCTCGACCATCGTGCCGGAAAGAACAAAAGAATCAGAAGAAAGCTGCTGAGAAGGCAATGAAGACAGAGATGAAAATCAAGATCGAGAAGACAGGTGTGCCCGCGCCGGCTGTTGTGTGCCTGGCTCCAGATAGGGAGGTCTGGGAAGTCGAGAGTGACGACTCAGACGTAGAGGTCTTGGCCGTGGAGCGACCGCGGCCCATGGCTTCTTTAAAGCTTGATGTGCCAGAGGTTTCTTCGAAGCAGATAAACCTTCTTGTCAACCATATTGTCTTTGCTTGTGAACCTATGCTAGCCAAGGCTTCGTGCGAGGAGGAGCGAAGCTGGAAAATCCTTCAAGTATCTTGGCATTTGCTGGTGGGCTTGCATGTGCTGCAAACATATATGGACAATCGCATTTAACTACAGGCTGTACGGGGCCATCCGCTGTACATGCAGTTCAAGGGCCAGCAGCAGGCAGAAGGTTACGACCCTTGCCATGCATTCATTCTGTTTCATTGCATGATGAGAGCACGCAGATTTTGCAGTATAAGTATAGAATATCTCAGGATGTGTTCTCCTACATCGACAAGGTAACCACCGACTTCGAGATGTTCAAAACATATGTTCATGGAATCGAGCAGCAGAACACTGCTGCTGCTGCATTGGTGCAAAGGATGAAACAACATGAGTTGTTCCCAAGGTTCTGTGAAGAGGTCGGTGCCGAAGCGGGGCTTTGGGGCTTGGAGGCGGAGCATGCGCCAACGGAGCTGTCGCTCTTTGAGGAGTGGCTTGCTGAGAAGGAGCAAAGCCTGATAAATGCTGCCATGGTGAATGGAACTTCCGCTGAACATCAGGCAACCAAGGCTATGAATGTTGCAGCGAATGCTGAAACGCAAGTGGAGGAGGAGTATGATGAAGTGCCCTCCCTGCAATGTGTGTGTGTGTGTGTGAGTTTGACATGTATGCTTGGTGCTTCTTGATGCAAGGTTGAAGCTTCGCAAAACATTCCGCTCCCGCCGGCCGACATTGATGGAGAAAGCTTGGCGGAAGACGAGCTTCCTCTGGCGAGGGTTCTGGATATGGAGTTCGGCCGTGCGGCCGCTGGGGCTGAAAGTTCCTCGGTGCCTGCTGCACGTTCTGTGGATGTGGACATGATGTTGCAAGCACAAAAACGCAACTTAGCAAAACTAGTGTGATGTCTTTCACGTGTTCCTTTGGCATATTGTTTTCTGAGATTCGTGATCTCGCTGCAGGTAGAAATGATGAGCGGGACCGCTTGGTCGCCGAGTCTGCTGCAGTGCGTGATTTTCGTGCTGGGAAGGCTAGGCTGATACAAGCTCACGCCTGCACATGTATAAGCCCCGGTAAAACCTGAAGGAGATGAGTGTGGCTATGACAACCTCTGGGGAAGTGCCTTGCATGCGCAAAGCCTCGCTTTTTTGCTGCCGCCAAACTTCTTTTTCAACTAAGGACCGAAAGCCTGGAGAAGTGGACCCGGCCGCGACAGCAGCAACTCGCTTAATATTAGCCTATAGTTATGTACCGAATCTTGCAACGCTACATACCATGCAGAAGCCACTTCCAGGACGCTGAGCAGAACTCTCAGGATCAGGAGGCGGTCGATCTTGATCCATTCGTCTGCCTGTCATGCTGTATATCCCCCACCCATAAACGCAACACCCGAAACTACAGTATTATAACCCTGCATGCCCATGTCATGCATGCTACTGCTATACATGGAACCTTTCATGTGTATAGCTGCACATGTGCACATTGTCATGTGAATTACATGTATACGTGTATGGTATGTGCTGAGCATGTGCAGGAGGTGGAAAAGGAGAGCTGCTACAAGTACCCGATGAAGGACATCAGCAGAGGCTTGCTAGATGAAGTTGATGCGATGAATAGGGAAGCCGAGCCACCCCGCTATGGTGATCAGCAGTGTGTCCGCAGAGGTAGAAAAAAGGCCGCTGTCGATGAAGATAGCCAGGATGGAGAAAAAATGGATGCAGATGAAGTGATGATTGACATGGAGGAGCACTGCAAACGTGAGAGTGTTGAGGTGAGCAAAACAAAGCGCAAAGCCACAAAAAAGGAGGAGGTGGAACAGGAGCCAGGTGATGATAACGAAGGAAGTGAGGCAGAGGAGGAGGAGGACGATATGTGCGAAGAGGATGAGGAGGATACGCCGCAGCGAGGCAAAGGCAACAAAGTGGAGAAAGTGCTCAAGCGGGGCAAAGCCAAGAACGTGGAGGATGAGGAGGAACAGCCAAAGCGGGGCAAAGCCAAGAAAGTGGAGGATGAGGAGGAAAAGCCTAAGCGGGGCAAGGCCAGGAAAGTGGACGATGAGGAGGAGCAGCCAAAGCGGGGCAAAGCTAACAAAGTGGAGGATGAGGAGGAGCAGCCTAAGCGAGGCAAAGCCAAGAAAGTGGAGGATGAGGATGAGCAGCCTAAGCGGGGCAAGGCCAAGAAAGTCCAGGATGAGGAGGAACAGCCTAAGCGGGGCAAGGCCAAGAAAGCGGAGGATGAGGAGCCTAAGCGAGGCAAAGGTAAGAAAGTGGAGGATGAGGAGGAGCGGCCTAAGCGGGGCAAAGCCAAAAAAGTGGAGGATGAGGAGGATGTGCCAAAGCGGGGCAAAGCCAAGAAAGTGGAGGATGAGGAGGAGCAGCCAAAGAGGGGCAAAGCCAAGAAAGTGGAGGATGAGGAGGATGAGCCAAAGGTGAACAAAGGCAAGAAAGCCAAAAAAGCCCCAGAGGAAGAGGAGGAGGATGTGCCAAAGCTTGGCAAAGGCAGGTGCAAGCAAATGAGAGCCGAGACGGAGGTCCAGGAAAAGCCACAGGGAAGGGTGAAGTACGAGGAGGGTGCAATGGTGATCGAAGATGATGAAGACCTGGGCGAGCCAGATGAAGGGTCGGAGATGGAAGCATGGGAGGAGGAAGAAGAGAAATCCCAGAGCGAGGAGGATGTGCCACAGCGGGCCAACGCCAAGAAAGTGGAGGATGAGAAGGAAAAGCCTAAGCGTGGCAAAGCCAAGAAAGTGGAGGATGAGGAGGAACAGCCAAAGCGGGGCAAAGCCAAGAAAGTGGAGGATGAGCAAAAGCCAAAGCGGGGCAAAGCCAAGAAAGCAGAGGATGAGGAGGACGATGTGCCAAAGCGTGGCAAAGACAAGAAAGTGGAGGATGAGGAGCCTAAGCGGGGCAAAGCCAAGAAAGTGGAGGATGATGAGGAGAAGCCAAAGCGGGGCAAAGCCAAGAAAGTGGATGATGAGGAGGATGTGCCAAAGGTGGGCAAAGGCATGTGCAAGCAGATGAGAGCCGAGACGGAGGTCCAGCAGGGAAAGCCCAAGAAAGCAAAGACAAGGCATGCAGCAGCTGAGGAAGATGAGTCAGAGAAGTCTGAAAGGGCAGGCGCTGCGAAGGCTCGTTCTATAGTGTGAGCATATGTGTGATGTTTACATACATGAGGAAGTCTTGTTTGCCACACCAGGAACTTGGTATGATCGTTCCCCCAGAACATGTACAAGCCAATCATATCTACAGCAATGCCTATCGCTTCAGCCTGGCACTCGGGCACGATTTGGAGGCCGCTCGTGCAAGGGCACGCACTGCTGCAGATGAGTTCCGCCGCAGTGGTCGTGTGCCGGTAGATTATGTGAACGGGTTCCGTGGGCCCAACAAGAATGTGAAGAAGCCAGCAAAAGCAACGGGCCAGCCCAAAGCGAAAGCCAAAGCTGCAGGCAAGGCCAAGGCCAAGAAGTAATGTTTCTCCGTTTTGCTGCAAATGGCAGAAGCCGTTTGGGGAGCCATGCCAATAGTGCGGGCCATCTAGGTGGGCTGTAGGAGGCAAGTCTACCACGCATGACGCATACTATGTATGCTTAGATATATACACGTACATATATATATATATACTTTTACCCATGCACATACGAACCATCATGTGTGAGTGGACCTGCCATAGTCCCTATTGCCTGTTTTCACTCGAGGCTAGCAAGGGAAACATGCCGTACACATGCCTATGCTTTGATCCTTCCCATACTATACATGGTACCGGTACACTGTATGTTGTGTGTTCACACATACACATGATAATGCACACAGTGTCTGTAATTTTGTGGCATGTAGGGATGCTGGCTTCTTTAGCATGCACAGTCAGCTGTGCACCGCTTCCCAGAAGCGCAATCGAGATGAGCTGTGTTGCAGCTGCTACAAACATGGGCCGTGTGTGAACTACTTCTGTGCTGCGCAATTGCAACAGGACACTGAAGCGGGCACTCACGCAAGCTTAGTCGGTCCCGGTTTTCATGCTTTGCTTGAGCTTCCATTTTTAGGGTGTTTTGTCCTCCCTTTGGGAACAGCTGGTGACATGCTTCGAAGGGCAGGGAGACTCATCTGCATTAGCAACATGCACGACGCTTCTCACGATGCTTATAGTATTGCAAACCTACAACGAAACCACGCCGAGGGCCTTCATCATCGAGAGCGATGAAGAAGATGATGTGGATATGGCCACTCCAGAGCCTGCGATCCCAGCAGCACCGCTTGTGCCAGAACACACGCACCCGGGCTACCTGCCAATCCGGCTGCTTCTGATTATGCAGCTGCTGGAACAGGTTCTTGTATGCATGCAGGTAGATTAGGCATGATTGTTGCTGCCCATGTGTACCCTGTCGAGTCGAGTAGCTTCCTACAGCTAAGGTTACTACGATGCCCAGGGATTTCGCAGTGGCGGACATGTTCTGTGGTGAAGCTGCAATCGGAAAAAGCTTTCGACGTGCCGGGCTCCCCACCGTGGTCTTGGATGTTGCGCACGATGTGAGAGATGTGCCTTGGATGCATGCAGAGACCTATATAACCCTATTTACATGCACCCATAATCGCTACACTACATGTGCGCAGGATATATTATCTCCCCTCGGCTTTCTTCGACACCTGTGGGCTATCATGAACCTTAAGCGGGGTGGCCTGGCATGCTTGGGAATTGTATGCTCTTCCTGGAGCAAAATGTGCGGCACCTTGTCTTAATTGGCCTGTGTGCAGCATGTGTGTACTTGGAGGCCCTGTTGATTTAGTAAGTAGGGTTAGTAAGGTAAGTTACGGGGATTATAATAGGGCTTCTAGGGGATACTAAGTATAGACTTACTAAGTCAAAAGGGCCTCCAAGTATTGCTACATATGCAATGTGCATGTGCAGTTGCTACATCCGGCAGAACACCGCAGAACCCGCTGGGCAACCTGCACCCTAGAAGCATGTCCTGTGTGCTTTGCATATATATCTATATATGCAGCACACATATCCCCGGTACTCCAAGGAAGCACTTGAAAGTCCGGCTGGCGAATCTTATGGTGAGCCGCGAATCTTGGCTATATATTTAAACCCATAGGCCCTTGTAACCTATGGCCCCCAGTCGCCCAAACACAAACCACAATCCTACAACGCTACCTATAGCTGTTCATCCCGACCCGCAAACCCCAATCCCCGAATTCTCTATAACACCGTGACCCAATCCGCTGATCTGTGCATCCCATGTAGCATTGCATTCTCTGTGCGGTGGTGTTTTTAAGGCATGTTCAGGGCGAGGCTTCGGGGGTCAGGGCTTCAGGGTTTACAAGTCTCTCGGGATAATATAAGGCTCCTTTGGGCGCCCAGTGGGCTGTTATACGATTATGTGAGTGCTACACCCCTAATGGTCTATGATATTCCCAATATAATACCCAGAATGCCCAGCTATGCTAGAAACCACAAGCTCCCGATGACCCTGTCCGAACTAAGTGTGTTCTGCTCTGCATTGTGGCCATGCACGTAAATGCCCACTTCATGATTGAGAATCCCTTGCAAAGCCTTGCCAGGCCCTCAACTTTTATTATTTCACAGTGCAGTGTCAGTCGGATTGTAATGCAGCTTTGTTCCTGTAGCACCGAGATCGACCTTCACCCACGGATGGAACGGTTCCTGCATCATCGCAACCATTTCAGGAGTATGACGTGGCTCGCCATGTATGGCTCTGCTACCGCCAAACCTGTGAAACTCATATCCAGCAGCCCCTTCGTGACCTGGCTGTACCGCAAGCTGAACCGCAAGATGATGAGTAAATCAAAGACGACGAAGAGATACGTTGACAACAAGGGCAAGAAACGTTTCTCTGGGACTCAGCATCTCAAGGGTACAGCTGTGTATCCGCCTAGGTTTGGTGATCAGGCCGGCCTATCCCATGTACACAACTTTTGCCATATATAGTCGCCCCAAGTTGCATCCCTGACAGGTTCGAAAGAAGTTCATGCTCCACGGCCTGGTGTGCCCCAACAGGCGAGGCTGGATCGACTTCAGCTTTGATCCCTGGGATGATGCCAAGCAGCTAGGTTGGGTTAATTGTTGTGCTGCAGACTTCGGCACTATAAAGGTTATGCTTTTGGGAGACGACCAAACTACGTTCCTATAATTATGGGTTCGGGGCTTTCTGGGGGAGGGCTTGGGCTTTGCAGGCCTGGGTTTTGGGTCTGCATGCACTGTGCATGATAGAGAGAATAGCTTTCGCTAGATACATATAGATAAATATACCCTTATAGTGAGATCCCACCCCTAGCTCCCAAAGCCGAAACCCTCTCCCAGAAAGCCCACGACCCTCTTAGGAGCCTTATAGTAGATTCATCGTGTCATATTAGATATAGATAGATAGATAGATAGGTAGCTGCCCATAGATATGTTATCTGAGGCTCGACGAAGTTGAGTCGATGATCCAAAGGATCGCGCTTTCTGGCAACGCAGGGGTTTTGGGACTTGGTAGCCGATGATGCTTTGGCTGCAGCAGCAACATCTTAGCAAGGCTTGTTCCATGCTTGTCTAGTCGAGCAGACCCGACCATATAGGGGATCACACATACATAGCTAGTATGCAATCTAGCCAATCGTGCCTGTGGCTACTCGGTGCTGCTGCATTGAAATTCACTGAGCTGTGATGTGATCATAGCTGCTGTGTGCCGGGGTAGATGCACGAGCTAGCGGCAGCTGTCTGCATCTCGCGGCTGATCTAAATCACCCTAATACTCCTGGACCCCTGTAGTCAGACTATAAACCGTAGCCCCCCAAAGCCCAAACCCTCGCCCACAAAGCCCCTAACCCTCTTAAACCAGAAACTCAACCTATGACCCCTGGCTGACCCGAGCTTCTTGTCCATGAATCCAAAGTAGCTGAGCAGAGCAGCCGCAGTTTGCTATGCCTGGGATATAGATAGATAAGTTCTCCTTGGGGGTTCAGGTTAGTGTTCCTATGGGCTTCGGAGTGATTGCTAGGCTTCCAGGGAAAGGGTATCTTTGGGGCCTAGGTTTGGAGGAGGGGTGCGTCAGATAGGCGTCAGTTTGGGTCAGATGGGGCGTGAGATCAGCGTGAGATCAGCGTAAGATAGTGCGTGAGATCAGCGTGAGATCAGCGTGAGATCAGCGTGAGATCAGCGTGAGATCAGCGTGAGATCCTGGTGACCCCTCAACATGATGCACCCTTGACGCCCCACGTAAGATGCCCGTAAGATCCGCGTCAGATCCCCCGTGAGATAAGCGTCAGATGGCTGCCAGCCACCCGTCAGATGGGCGTCAGATCCGCGTCAGTTCCAGGGCAGCTAAAACCTTGGCTTGTCTAGGCTCGCTTCGGGGGTGCTGGGTCGGCTTCAGGGGATACTTGTTGATGCTTCGAGTTCTCCCTGGGTCTTTCGACTTTGACGATGGGTGACTATAGGACATGCTGGTGGTTTGATGATGACTGCATGATGCAACCGTCTGAATCATGGCTGCTCTTGATGTGACATAATGGTCTGTGCTGTTGGCGAACAATGGACACGAGCAACACAACCCAGACCGACATCATCGATCTCTTAAAAAGACCATCCTGCTACACCACCACCACCACCACCACCAACAACAACAACAACCACAACAACAACAACAACAACAACACCAGCAGCATCAGCGACAACATCAAAGACCACGCACCAGCACCGAATACCACAACCACAGCCGACAACAACAGCAACAGCATCATCAGCACCAGCACCACCACCAACAACAGCAACCACGCCGCCTATATCATATGTTCGAACCATGTAAGCATGATATAGTCGACAAACACCAAAACCACTGGTACTATATAGCAACTCTATATATATATATATATAACACCACCACCACCACCACCACCACCACCACCACCACCACCACCACCACCACCACCACCACCACCACCAACAACAACAACAACAACAACAACAACAACAACAACAACAACAACAACAACAACAACAACAACAACAACAACAACAACAACTATATTACTATTACTACTACTACTACTACTACTACTACTACTACTACTACTACTACTACTACTACTACTACTACTACTACTACTACTACTACTACTACTACTACTACTACTACTACTACTACTACATAAGGCTCCTAAGAGGGTCTTGGGCTTTCTGGGGGGAGGGTTTCGGCTTTGGGGGCTAGGGTCCGGGATCTCACTACAAGGGTCCAGGAGCCTTAAGTACTACTACTACTACTACTACTACTACTACTACTACTACTACTACTACTACTACTACAACACCACTACTACACCACTACTACTACGTGCTACCCTTGCTCCTGCTGCTGCTATTCAACACATATACCGCCACTGCCACCAACACACCACTACTGTATAGTACAAGCCAAAGCCCTGAACATCTTCCAGTCCCATCCCCTATAAAGGAACTTTTTAACGAACCATAAGGAAACCCTATAAAGGACAATCACTAAAGCTCGGAGAAATACAGTAATTGGAAGCCTTCTCCTGTAGCTGCTCAAGATATCAGACGCGACCTCGTGCTTATTGCTGGTGTCCAGCTGACACCATGAGCACCACTACGGTAGACATGCCTACGCCGGGGCAGCTTTCTGAGGACTCTTAGGGCCTTAGGGATCTACAGCATGGCTGTTGGGTTGACCTGATGTTGAGAAGCTACGTAAACCCTTATAAGCAACAGGAGCCGCGAGTGCCCCTGAAGCAGAAAGTCGACGCATTTTTCAAGACGTGGCCCGGTGCTAACGCGAAGCTTGAATGCGGTCTTCGGAAGGAAGCTCGGCCCGGTGGGTTTAGTGATTCGATCGGGCTCATAGGGGTATTGTGAGGGGTGCGATAATATAGTTAGCTTCAGACAGCCCTTAAGTACAGTACGTCATACTCACACAACCCTCGGTGACCAACCCATCCTACAGATAGCCACGCGATCCCTCTTAAAATATGTAGAAGTGACCCCGAGTAAGAAGCACCTACTTGCAGCTTTGTCCCCCATCCATCGAAGGCCAGCACGTCGGAATCGTTGGTGTCGGAAGCTTCGACGACGGCCACGACGCTTGTCTTGGCTGGAGCGGTTGAGGTTGCTCCGTTACTTGGCACGAAAGTAGTTGTGTGTGTGTGCATGCATGCATGCATAGTGTTGTCATGATCGAAAGTATGTCATAACACTCTGCTAAGATTGTCGACCCCTTCGCCGCTGTCTCGTTCCTTTACTTCAGATTCCTTGGAGCTGGGGGCTAGCGCTGCTTCGCCCCCTCTGCGACATGAAGCTACAGGTGTGAAGCGAGAGCTGTTTAATAGCCCGAAAACACCGATGCCTGCACAGGGGGATGCTGTGCAGAGGGCCAAGGATTTTCTTGCAAGGCGGACGAAAGCCAAAACCGCCGCAGTGCCGGCGGTTGGTGACCAAGATGGCCAAGGTTGGTTGCTGCCTGCTGCCCCCAAAGGCCCAATAAGGGCTGCCATGAACCCTTCGATCCCAGTCAACCAGGCCATGAACCCTTCGGTCCCAGTCAACCAAGCCATGAACCCTTCGATCCCAGTCAACCAGGCCATGAACCCTTCGGTCCCAGTCAACCAAGCCATGAACCCTTCGGTCCCAGTCAACCAGGCCATGAACCCTTCGGTCCCAGTCAACCAAGCCATGAACCCTTCGGTCCCAGTCCTGCAGGCCATGAACCCTTCGGTCCCAGTCAACCAAGCCGTGAACCCTGGGGGCCCAGTCAAGGAAGCTCTTACTCCACCGCCCAAAGCAACTGCAAATTCGCTAGTGATGGTTGCAAACCCTTCGGTCCCAGTCAAGAACGAGATGATGGGTGTGCTCAGATCACCACCACCACGTGCTGCTGCTTCTGCCGTGGTAGCGCCAAAGCCTGCGCCCTTGGTGAAAAGCTGTGCAGTTCCACCACCAGCTGCATGCATCACACCTGTGGTGCCCGCCAAAGCCGTTGCAGCCTGTCCTGCGCCGAAAACGAGTTTGCCAGCTTTGCCTGCTGTGGCTGCTAGTGCAGCCAAATCCGTTGCAGAGCCCGGGAAGGCTGTGGAGCAAGTGAACAAGAAGGCGAAGATGGCTCCACCGGCCAATCCACCGAAAAAGCCTAGTGCACCCTCGAATCCCCCGCCCAAGGCTGCTGCCCCTTCCAATCCTGTTGTGCCTTCCCCCGCCAATCCGGATGAGCAAAACGTGATGAAGGCTGTGGGCAGGCTGCATGTTATGAATGAGGAGGCGGGTTTTGGGTTTCATGCATGCAACAAAACCATTTGCAACCTTCTGCTCTCCCTGAGATGGCTATCTTTCCGGAGACCTATGATGAGAGACAGTCCCTCTATGCCTGCTTCAAAAGGATCCGTGGAATTAATAGATCTGCTCTTTGATTAAAGGCCTCCTTACGTGCATGAGTACACACCTGAAGTACTGAGGAAGCTGAAAAAGGGCGATGAAGTCCCGCAAGAGTTCGCAACCCTGTGGGTGCAGGCCTGCGGCAGCAACTCCCGTAGTGCCAAAACAGCTCTCTTCCATAAGTGGTTGACTGCTGGCAAAGACTTCGGGCGGTTACTTTGCTGAAATTAGCTTTGGAAGTCCTGCAATGAACTCACATCAGACCAGGAAGCCCAGTTTGTGCTAATGCCAAGGCTCAGCATCCAGCTCGATCGATCCCGGACAGATGCAACCCGAGGCTCGCAAAGAATGGGTGCCTTGGCTATATTGAGGCAGTGTAGACATATATGTGTATACATATATATATATATGTTATATAGGTGCTTTGAGTTTACATTGTTGGGTATTGGATAGGGACTTTATGGGTCCTCGATCACTACTTAGCACTCTCTCTCTCGCTCTCTCTGTCTCTCTCTCTCCCTCCCTCTCTCTCTCTCTCTCTCTCTCTCTCTCTCTCTCTCTCTCTCTCTCTCTCTCTCTCTCTCTCTCTCTCTCTCTCTCTCTCTCTCTCATGATTCGATCACCCCTACTCACACTCACACTCTGCCTCACTCCTCTCTCCCTCCCACAATCATTTTTGTTCTCTCTCTCTCTCTCTCTCTCTCTCTCTCTCTCTCTCTCTCTCTCTCTCTCTCTTTCTTTCTCACGCTTTCTCGTGCTCTCAGGATGGCAGACCCGGGCACAGCTGCTACACTTGCATCAGCATGAGGAGACAGTAAACGCCATCATCGCGGCGAAGGTCGCCAGCGGCCACACAAGGCCTCATCCGGACTTGCCGGATGACGAAAGCGCCCGCTTGTATTATGTCAGGTGCTCAAATTTGCATGGAATTGTCCATCATGGTGGGAATACAAACACCAATGACTTGAGGTCCTGGTCGACATGTCCTATGTCAACGAGCATGAAACACGCGATACGCTGAATATCAGAATGGCAACAGAAATAGATGCTGGCAGTGAGGCCTTATGGTATGCACATGATATAAGCCGTTCCCTTGATCAAGCCTTTGTTTCATTCGTACAGGCTGCCACGCGGCTGCTTGGTGGCAATGTTTATCAGAACCTCGGCACGAACACAATGTATGGTGCCTCTGGCCCTGCGGAAACCACAGGGACAGGTAATGTCGGCTGCTTGGGCATGCCTGGAGGCAGCTCCAGTGACGGGGCGAGCAAGGGTAGCCAGAAGGGAAAAGGGAAAGGCAAGGGGAAGGGCGGCCAGGGAATTGAGACACTCCACCCCAATGGCCAGCCGAAGTTTGGGAAGAAGAAGAAGCTTCTCCTTTGCATTTATATTGTGGGTCAGTCACAACTGTGCTCTCTCGCTTTATGCCTCTCTCTCTCTCTGTCTCTCTCTCTCTCTCTCTCTCTCTCTCTCTCTCTCTCTCTCTCTCTCTCTCTCTCCCGCTCTCTCACATACCTTCTAAGGGAGGATGTCATGCCGGGCAACGCCACGGAAGCAGCGGTCTGGTGCATGACGAAACTTATCAAGGCGATGGGAGATGCAAAGACTTTGTCTGTACGCCTGGCCTGTGTGAAGCATCAAGAGCAGCTGTGTCCCTTGAAAGCAAAGGATCCATGCAAACACACTGCTCTATAGAATGTGCATGCATGTTACTTGACCAAGGTACGCTGCTGAAGACGCACAGCACCGAGCTAGAGACATCGTATAGCCAGATTCAAGCTTTGAAAGTCGCAGAGGCTTGGACATGTGTATATATGGGGGCTTTCAACTGCAGAGGTGCTGTTTGTTTCTCTTGCTGCTGTAGGTTCCGGACTCTCAGCTTTATGCGGCAGCAGAGCTTTGCCGGCAACGCTTGGCTCTCTTCTCCGAAGACAGGGCTAGCGCAAACCGTGTGTGCCCGAAGCCGAAGAAAACCAAGAAGGACTGGACTACATAGAATGCACGGGTTATTAGAGGGCTGTGATGTGCTACATATTATACTAGGGTGGTATGGTCTTAGCAATCCTCGATCCAACACCCGCTCGAAACCCAAAGTCTAAGGTGATCAGTGATCGATAAAGAAAGAGCCCCACCGGATGAATCAAGACCTATAAGCTGTGGCCCCAAATACCATGCAAAGCCCTCCCCAAAAGACCCTAAAATTATCAAACCCCGTCACAAGATATATATCTGTACTATCGCAAAATATAACCCGCGGAACCTCAACTCCCCGAAACACCGAGCCACTGCAAACCTTTGCCCGGAGCTATCTATAGAATGGAAGCAAGTTGATGTTGAGGATACTTGGATGTTGATGGAAACCATAACATCTTTCACGTAATACTACACCTCCTATCCATATAAACTCTCCGGTCTCAACACCCCGATAAAGCCCCTACAAACCCCAAATCCTACACTCTGGCCCACAATAACTAATTGGCAAGACCCACAGGAGGACGACGATGATGCGCCGTGCGATGAGTCGTGAGCAGCCAGCCTGGGTTAGCAAGGCAAACCAGTTCTCTAGCTTTATGTATGATGTTCTATGTAAGGGAGTATATTTGGGCTCTGTGACCTTGCCAACTCTAGGGGTCACGAGTGCTGAGATCCGAAGAGCGATCTGTTGCAATGGGTGGGGCAGCATGGCGCATTAGAACACTTCGCGATGCTGAGTTTCGCCTGCTATGCTTGTATACCTCTGTGAAGTCTCAGCCGGCTGTTGCTACAATGAGCATATTGAAGTGATGTGCCATGTGCCCTGTAAGTTCAGCTGTCCAGTACAGCCACCAATCTTTCCTCATGAGCATTAATCACATGCTCGCAGTATCTGCCGAAAACGTGCAAGGGGATGGAATGATGCGACGCTGAGAAAGAACCAATTTTGCAGAGCCAATGGAGCCTATCATCATGGTAAAGCCGCATATATGATAATTAGTGTCGAATACTCTTGCTGCAGGACGTGCTATTCATCAGCAGAAAGTGCTGGTGAATGCTGCTGCTGAGAAGCGGCCCAGCGATCACTCGCCTTCTTCTGGCAGTGCTGCGAAGCGACGCGCATCGGCGATTCCATTCTTGAATGCTGCAACAGCTAACCTCGACCAACAGCCTCAGGAACCTGTAAAGGACACCCGCATGCTGAAAGTTGATTTGGAAATGCATACCATGCATGCAATGTGCATCACACCCTGCAGGACCCAGATGAGTTTGGGGAAAGCCTGGTTATCAATTATACCGAAGGAAAGAGCAGTGCTACCAATGCATCTCGAAAGCAATGGTGATATGTGCATGTGCATCATGAGCATGTGCACTTGTGAATTCTGCTTTGTGTCTGCGATCATAGGTACAAGATTTGGCTGCGGGTGCAATGTCATGGTGCACATCTGTTGGTGGCAAAGCCAAGAAAGGAGACCTGGTCAGCAAGCTCTCGAAGCTAGGGGCTCGTGGGCGGCACAAACAAAATGCAGAGAGGGATCTACAAAGAATGGTTTCATCCTTTGGGTACGCCATACGTGCTGAAATCGAAGTTGTTTCGGTCCATTTGTGGGACCCCAAAGACTCTTGCATCTACGAAGCCGACCTTCCAGCATCCCGCTAGCAATGTTTCAACTTTGATATGGCATCCCAAAAAATAAGTATATATAAGGCCCCTATTGAATTATGACCATATGTTCCCCTCTTTAAAACCAAGGTTATCTATCCCGATGTGCTTGTGAGAGCTGTGTGGGATCTTGGCAAAGATGTGTTCGAGCACATCTACTTGGGAACTGGAGGAAGGACTGGGGCGGCTGAGTATTGGGCGAATGTGCGTGCTCGGTGTGCATGGTACCCACAAAACATTCCCGAAAGCTGCCACTCGGGCCTCATACCAATTTCTCTGTATGGAGACGAGGTACACGCATATCGAAACACAGACCCTGGGGCGGTTTCTGTTGTGGGATGGTGTTCAGACCTCAGCTTCGGTGTCGATGCCATGATTCAGTATGGTCTGATCTGTGCGTATTCGGAATACTGTGAGTGTGAGAGCACTTACGGTGAAATCATGGAAGCAGTGCTACCGAGATTGAATTACCTCTGTGATCCAAATGCTCCACATCCCTGGAAAGATGAGTTTCGCTTTGTGCTGTGTGGAGTAAGAGGAGATCTGAAATGGATCAACGACAAATACAAGATACACAATTATCGGCTGAATGACTTTTGTTCTCGATGCTCCTGTATGAAGACTGCCGACAATGTATATGAAACCATCACGGCATTCAGCGACAAGGCACAGCATGTGCCAGTGGATCATGTTTCTTTCTGTGATTCAAAATGCATCGAAGATTGGCCCTGGCCGATGAGGTTTGGTGTGCACCTGGAACGCTTCTGTCATGACACGTGTCATAGCCAGTTGCTGGGTAGTGGCAAATGCCTGAATGGATCTGCTTTGACATACCTTTGCGAGCAAGGATTCTTCACCGGAGGGCAATTTGGCTCCGGTGTATACGATGTGGCTTTGCAGGCGCAGCTTCAGTATGCATATTCTGATTTCCGGTCATGGAGCAAGGCCGCTGGCTTGAAAGTCAACCATCCCAGATTTACTTTCAATCGCTTGAATAGAAAGCATCGAGGCATGCAGCCATGTACCAAATCTGCATTCAGTATTGTTTTGGTATACTGGGTATAAAATAACATGCAGTTTGTTGTCTGTTGTTTCAGAACCCGAGGCCTAGCATCAAAGGCAGTGGCCGGCAAAGTGGTGACATTTTGGCTGGCATATCGCTGTGTGGAGTATGCTGAAAGGGATGGCTCAACCCCGCTGGACCGGCTGGTTGCTGTGTGTGTTTGGAGCTATGCAGATCTGCTTCGCCAGTTTGACGAATGCCCGCTTATCTTGTCAGCTGCACAAGCAAGACGTATGTATGTCACCGGACAGCGCCATTTGGAGACCTGGGCAAACCTGAGATCTTTGAGTGCGCTGCTGACTTCCGGCAAGGTTGCCAACCGCAATCTTTGGATGATTCTGCCGAAGATGCACCATTTAAAACATGCCCTGGAGGATGCTGTTATCACCCGCCTCAACCCGCATATGCAAAACCTTCTGGGAGCTGAAAGCTGGATCGGTGCCATCGGCAGGATGGCACGGATGCTTTAATGCATTTAGTATTTGTGATTGTGTTTGTTTGAAAAAGACTGGCGAACCCTAAGCTGCTGCATCATGACCATCCAAGGACTGCCCACCGCTCAACGGTGAGCAGGCGGACTCTGCAACGATATCGTTGCAGAATGCGGTTTCGGCTGATGAAGGTTGCGAAGCGATTGCGAGGTCAGTGAAAACAAGTCGAACAGCTGTCTTTCGTATCATGAACATCTGTGTGGGACCCTGGCTGTGACGTGCCTCCTTCAAGCCTGACCCCTCAGGACCCTATGGACCCCTCAGGGAAACCTCCCCAAAGCCATTTCTTCCTGGAAGGCCCCAACCCAAAAGGAGCATCAGGGTAGAAGAAATCCTTTTAGGGCTCCTTTATAGGATGTAGGGATTTAGGTTTAGGGATTTAGGGTTTAGGGCTTATGAGTTTAGTATTCAGGCGCTACTTCAAGGCGTAAGCATATACTGCATGGGCACATGAACCCCTTAGTGTAAGAAGCTCTTTACAGGCATAAACAACAAAGATTGCGATCAGGATCCTATTAACTTTGTCCACGATAAACGATTTCAATGTTTCTATAACGGTTCGTCTTCAAGGCTCGTCAACGTGTAACAAACTTGGGCAAGTTTAAGAATTGGGGCACACCGCGTCAACTGTAGGCGAAACTGCGCAACCGTTACCCTACCTATTAAGGACCAAAAAACACTTAAAGGTAGGGGCCCTATACCCTTGTAGTATGAATCCCTAATAGTTAATACGGTATATGTTATATGGAGCTTGAACCCTTTCAGGGCTCCTTTCGTCCATAAGGTACTACCCAGTGTAAGAGGCCCCCCCAAGGAAAACGGTAAACATAGGTGCCGTAATGTTGCGAATGGGGATTTGGGATATATTATCGTCTACCTGTTTTTGTGTTCATAAACCCTCAGGAATGATACTACTATTTCTTCAAGCCCCTATTTTAATTAACAGGCATGAGGCGGTCAGAAAAGCGAATCAAGCGAACCTGTAGCACTTGAGACGGGTCAGAACTTTCCGAGAATGTTGGTAATGCTGGCGATGATTGCGCCGGCTTCTGCGAGCCCTAAGGTACAGTTGTCAACAGGTAAAAGAAAAGGCGTTTTAAACAGTTGCTGAACAGTTCGTCACGCCCTAAACCCAAATGACAACATGACGGGTACGATGGACTGCTCACTGACCCAAAGGCTCCATGTGCCGATGTAGTGTATACTTAAGACTTAGGCCTTAAAGGCGTTCCCATATCATGGGAGTTTCCGAAAATAGGGGACCCTAATCTGGGGCCCAAAATAGTAGGATCCTTATTATGCGGACCCCAATTTTCGGAAACTCCCATATAACTAATTACTTTAAACCGGACCGGCGCGCCTGGTAGCGGATGATTTGCTCATGGTCGATGTCGAAGTGTACGCGATCCGGCGGATATAAACGCGCCCGGAGCATTCCCGTGAGCCTGGTATCGGTTTTTCTTAGGGGTTCCTTAACAGGGGGTCTATAAGGGTTACTATAAGGGATCTATGGGGGTACTATGTTGTAGGGGCCTGGTGGTTTCCTTGAAGGGTTTAGGGTGGTACTTTAGGTTGCTTAGGCTTAAGGCATTGAGACTTTTAGGGCTTAGGGTTAGTTTAGGGTTTATAGGGCTTAAGCATTCGAGGTGTTGGGTTTCAGCTTGCTTGCCCGAAGGGTCTACCGACTGAAATTTAAGGCTTCTGGTCCCAAAGAGCATACTTGGAGCCTCCATTGCGTTTCGTTGATCTAAACCAGTTTCGTATAAAGGATCCCAAAAGTAACCCAAGAGAGGAACGACAGTGGAGACTATAGGTACCGTATTGTAAGTTATGTATGGCTGCTGGGCTGTTTTTACTCTGAGGCTTTAGGGTCTCTCTCTCTTGCCCTTAGGAGGTAAGCACAAAATCTATAGCGTGGGGATCCCAAGACCCTTGTAAGTAGCCGAAAATCCGCATCTAACGTTGTGTGGGTTTAAGATTTCATGAAAAACATGCTCGCTGTGTCTTGTGGGCTAGTTTACAAAGGACTTCGCATGGCAATGTAAGCCTAGTACTGTCGAAGTCACTTGGGAAGACTGTACTTGGAGGGTCGGGGACTTAGTAACTGGTTATTTTAAGGACTTATAAGTACCATAACCCCAATTAGGGTCCCTTTTAGGGTACTTATAAGTCTACTTACTAAGTCCCCCGACCCTCCAAGTATGCATTTTGCTGCGAGAGTAGCCTTGGTTTTCGCTTTGTTTGGCGGGAGCAACACGAGGAGTAGGAGTTAGGAGTAGTTCTCAATGAGGTCCCCTTTAAAGAGGGCCAGAAGTAGGGTTGAGAAGGGTCCCTCTAAGGGAGTCTACCCAATACTACTTCGGAACGGTTGATGATATACATCCTGCATTACCTTCAGGACCCTAGACTGTGGGAATTATGGTATATTCCTTAGTCTGGGCAATGCAGGATTTACATCACCAACCGTACCCCATACTACTTCGGAAGGCGGCAAGAGGAGGCGGTCTGCCAGCTCTGACAGCCGGTCGGACATGTCACAATCCACTGCTTGGCCCTGGGTGGTGGTGTGTTCCCAGACCTTCTAATTACAAATACAAATTATTAATTAAGGAACATCCCGTAAGTTATAGCATTCTAGTAGGCTCCCTTGCATGATTTAAAGTACATTCCTTGAAAATGGGATTTTGGAAAGTCTGGGGAGAGCCGCTGACCAACTCGACGCTGTGGTTTGAGAAGTGTGACCTTGGATGCCTTGGACGGGGATTTGGGCATTGCTCAGCCTCCTTGTGGCTCTGTAACCGGTCTCTTCTGCTTGGCAGGGACTGCCTTGAACATTACCTGCAGTTCAGCGAATAACGGTGTGAAATAAGGGGACGTGAGGTGAAAGTCTCAACTGGTCCACTATCTCACTTCTTTTGATCCTGACCCTAAGGCCTAGGAGGTTCCGGGTACTTACAAGTCGAGTTATAAGTGTCCTAAGTCGGATCCTATTTTTGGGATCTGGAACTCATAACTCCACAAAATCACCACTTACTAAGCCCCCCGACCCTCCAACTAAACCCTGAACGCTACACCCCAAGCTCCAAACCCTAAACCCTAAGACCCCTAAAACCCTAAACAACAAACCCTAACCCCTAAACCCTAAACCGCAAACCCTAGGTCCCTACTTGAAGGGTTCTTGAAAGCTCCCGACCGCGCAGCCTTGGCCGCAGGCGGGTGGCCGAGAGTTGACCCCGGACGGACATGTCCTGAGCGCCCATGGCCTCCGCGGCTTTCGGGTTTAGCGAGTAGAGTTTGAAAGGGATCTCTAAGGGTTTAGGGTTTATATATATAGGGCTTAAGGTAGATATAGGGTTTAATTATAGAGTTTGGGGTTCAACTTAACCCTGAGTAACCTACCTTTTGAAGGCTCTCTTTATTATGATTTCTTTACAGTATATAAGTCCTCAAAGCGGCTTTGGGTTTAGGAAGTTTAGGGATTACCCTAAGGCTCCCAAAGGGGTCAGCAGCCTTCTGGGGGAACGGTTTGGGCTTTGGGGGCTAAGGTTTACACTCCCAAGGTACCTATGAAGGACAATGTCGGGTTTCCATATCAGGAATTACCATTATAGTTTGGGTAAGTATCCCTCATACAGTATAATGTATATATATATATATATAGATGCTTATATAGGCCCTTTGGGACCAGCGCTAAGCTTTAGGGGCAGGGGTTAAGGGTTTCGGGTTTAGCTGCTACACCATACCGAAGCTCCAAAGGAGGTCATGTGTTGAGGCTTTTGGGACCGGGGCCATCGCATACCCTAAGGGTCCATGTACTCATATCCTGTAAGGGGTCCTTTAAGGGTCTACTATATGGGGTCTATGAGGGTTTAGGGAATAAAAGGTCCATGTACTCATATAGTATATACACTGGCCTTAAAGCACTCCCTATATAGGTACATTTGGCCCAAAGTATATGCTATATGGGTACATGGACCCTTAAACCCTAAACCCCTATAGAACCCTTATAGTAACCCTTAAAGGAACCCTTAAAGGAACCCTTAAAGGAACCCTTAAAGGAACCCCTATTTGGGCACAAGGACCCTTAGGGATATAAGGCCCTTCAGGTTATGTTGAGCCTTCGGGTAAGGGTTGGCGATAAGGGTGACAGGGTTGTAAGTATATTGGGTAGTATTATTAGGGGGACCCCTTAAAGGGTACCCCTTCTGAACCCTACTTCTGGCTCTCTTGAAAGGGGCCTTATTGAGAGGGTCTATATCCCCAAGGGTCCCCTAATCCTAACTCCCATATATAACAAGGGTGCTGTAACGCTTCTCGAGTTTCCGGGCATAGGGCAGGGACATGAAGGATGTAGCGCTGGGGGGACATGTTTTCTAAAGGTGGCAATGATATATTGCAACCATAATAGCTAGTCCCAACGACTCCTAAGTATATATATATATATATATGGAGAGGTAGGATTCGTGTTTCCATGTCATGAACTACTATGGTTTGGGTAAGTCTCTCCAAGACGGGTACTTCAGACCCTTTGGCAATTGTTGACCCCCCGTTACCATGCAGTCCTTCTGGTTTGGACATTAGGAACCGAGGATTCCGGCTGTAAGCCTTTGGGCTTAGAGTCTGAGCTAGTACAAGTAAGCACGTAAAGGCCCATGGGATTTAGTAAGTCTGGGCATCAGTTTATAAGGTAATAATTAGGATAACCCTACTAGGGCACGCACGACCCCGATATACACGACACCCTAGGATGCCCAGTAACCTAGGAATAAAAAGGGCTTCCTTTTTGGTATTGGGCAACTTTATAAGGAACCTAGGACTACAAAAAGGGAATAAGGGTACTACTGGGCATCCTACCCGGACCTTCCGAAACCCCTTAATTAAGGAATATACCTTAAAGTATAGAAGGATCCTTCATATGATTTAAGGTGATTTCCTTAATTAAGGGATTTTGGAAGGTCTGGGTAGCACCATGATAAGAA